CATCAGAACAGTTTGAAACTGTTCAGAACAGTTTGTTTCTGTCACAATGGCACTATGCATCAGTACTGGGGATCCAAAAATATGGGATTTCTAGGCTGACACAATAACCTTGTTGTGGCCCATACAGATGTAAATAACTCGTTTAACTGTTTTTACATTTTAAAACAAGTTCATATTGTAATCTAAATATGAAGGACAAAAAGGGTAAAACAGTCTTGCCCAGGACTATTTTGTGGTGTTCTCTTTTCCATATAGCAGTGTTGTGCTTGCTTGGATGGAGAAAACAAACCTCATTCTCCCACTATGGTAGAGAATTTAAAATAAGAAAAAATACCCACTGCACATACATGTGTGAGCCAAAAAAAAGAACCCAAAAAAATACTGCATATAATTATCAGCTGTAACACTAGCTTTTAATGCTTTGTATGTGACAACATTACATTAGTTTACTTCAGTAACAGTTGGACTTGCTAGTTAATGTAGAGTAGTTCCCATGTAATTGAGTTCCAAGTCTTATGAAAAAAAACACACGGCGGCCTACGGATGACTCCACTCACCTTGTTCGTTAAGCAGATTGGCCTTAACAAAAAGGCATCTGTTAGTGGTTTCATTCGAATCCAGTTTATAGATATACTCAAACTCATATCTGTCCTTCTTTTTCTTATATACAATATATTTATAGGGTATGGACACAGCTTCCGCCCTTTTCTTTGTGGTCACCAGACTCCCTTCTACAAGAAATCCATGCTCACCGAGATCCCTGAAAACATAAAACAGACCTACTCATTCATTTGAAACAGTCCTACAGTAATTACTTTGAAACAGTCTTAATGATAAATTTGAAATATAGCAATTGCTCATTTTGTGCTTTACCGTGATACAGATAGCTCTACCAAATTGGCTTCCCAGTCACCAATGATATGGCCTGCCCTTATGAATATGTGATCTTCATTTGGGTCAAACTTAAAATCCTTGGATAAGACAGCATGAAAGTAGATAGTGAGTCTCTCACTTGAGGAAATCTGCTGAGTCGATGAGCGAATTCTGCAATTTACATGGAGAAAGAAATATAAGTGAAATAGTCAATAGAACAATACAATTTATTAGGTACTCCTGTCAGGTAGTCTTAAAGGTTGTGTCTTTCTCAAAAGACTCTAGATACCTTTGTGGAGGAGGAACGCCTTTCCTAGCCTCTGTCTCTTCATTTCCTTTTGACTGTGCACTTCTGGTGCCAGTCGAAGAACCTCCCTTTCCATGAGCTGACTGCTGATGTTGACTATGCTCCACTTGCACGTCTGAATCTACACTGGAGCCTATGTCCTTCACCTGGAGTGTAGAAGACCCAAATAACCGCTATTTAGATTCTATGCTTCAATGCATCTCAAACCCATAAATCTCATAAAAGTGCTAAAACACAGGATTTACTACTACAATTTCTGTACTTTTACCTCTTTCCTGCTTTGTGGTCCAAACATCATTCCACTATTACCAGCAGGAGGTTTCTTGCTTTCCTGTTTCTGGTTTTGAGTTTTCTGAGTTTGTTTTCTTGCACTACTTCTAACATTTGCATTTTGATCCACATTGGCATTTTGGTCCAGCGTGGCTTGTGCTTTGTTAGATGGGTCTTTCTGGACCTTTGGACTTTTAGACTCAGCCTTACATTTCTTTTGGTCACTCGTCTGATCTGACTCTTCTGACGCTGATGGACATGTGCTGAATGTGCCATCACTGTCCATGTCTGCGTCAGTGTTCTGCGTAGATGGAGAGTTTTGGTCTTTCACTGTTCCAGGGTCAGGATGATTCTTCCTGTGTTGCATTGCAGAAGTCTGGTCCTTCCTAAGATCTTCCTGAGTGGGTTCTTGAGTAGATGCAGACTGCTGACCTTGCATTACTTCAGGGTGAAGACAATTCTTCTTGCTTTGCCCTTTTGAAGTCTTGTCCTTGTTAAGACCTTCTTCAGGTTCATCAAGTTCTGTGTGGCCATCTGTTTTTCCTTCTGAAGGACTGAGGGCAGAGGACAAATCAGACATGTTTTCCTTTTTCGACTGCGTAACAGTGTCTGAAAGTGAACTGGGCATCTCGTCCACAGCGCACGCTGATTCCTCACTGTCAGAGGACACGATTTTGTCTTGCTTTGTTTCCATTGCTTTATCAGTCAGGGAGATGTCAGAGAGGTCTGAGGTCAAAGACGAAGGCTCCTCCATATTAGACACTTTCTTTTTGTTCTTCCTCTTCTTCTTTCTCTGAAGAATCACAAGTAGCAAAATGAGACCAAAAAATAGCTGAATGTATTTGATGAGAACGTTTAGAGCAAGATATGAACTAGATAATTACTAAAAACTAGCCTACAAACAATGGCTACACAGGTTCCACAGCAAACAAAGACACAAAAATGTTCACCTTTTTTTGGAGGTTCGGACTGTTGCTATCATTTGGCCTTTTAGGAGACACAGCTTTTTGCTGATTATCCAAAGCCAAGGAGTCTGCATTTGTTTCTGTCATTTCTGCACTGGTGTCCAGTGGAATGACTGCAGATTGGGCAACATGTCCTGGTATTTTGTTTGAAAAAAAAAGCAAAAAAGTCTCAGTAACTACTAATAAAAACTCAACGCTTTTAGAATTTAACTTAATTCATTGAATTAATCTTTTAGATAATATAATTTTGAATAGATGATGTAATCAATGTGTAGACACCTTCATCAAAACATTAAATGTCCTTTTTTAAAAGACTTCTTATAGCAAATACATAACAGTCAGTGAATGGCAAATTGGCATAAATTATCACAGTACCACTAAGCCTACCTTGCGTTTCTGCTGAAGGCTGTGTTATCAGCTTAGCCCCACACTGACTGCAGAACCTTGCTGACTCCTCCACGGCAGCATGACCACAACTTGGACACTTCATCCTGAAAAACAATATAGAAAACCTAATGAGCATGGCAACAGAGAGATCAGTCTCTGCTCCTTCTCTGGTCTAATGACAACACAGGTTAACAACTCTTTGACTAGAGTCAAATAACAAGGAAATAGGTTGTGCACTAATTGGACAAGTTGTATGATCAACAAATATTTTTGTGTTTCTCTGCACATGGCCTTCACAGTATCTTGGACAATGCGTGCTGCATGCTGTTCTGTACAGCGGCAAGACTTAACTGTTCTAGCACTCAACATAGTACACCACCATCACATTCTGTATCTTACCTGCTTATGACTAATGAGTTACACATGTAATGTGTGAAATTCCCCACTACAGAGAAGTAATTGTGTACCACTAAGTACAAAGAGTCTAGGCTAAAACTCTGAATGGTTGCTTTAATTTCTTTGGATAGTTAATAGGGATAGAGGGAGGGTGTAGAGAGAGAGAAAAGACAGAAGCAATCGCTTTTAACACTTTTTGTGAATTATTAACCATTTTAATCTTCATAGAATTATTTCAACTGAACAAGTTCTTTGAATTTATTAAATTAAATCTTTGATTTATTTATAGACTCACTTTTGTCACCAAATAATTTGTAAGACGTGACTGTAGATCAACACTTACATGGGGTGGTTGCTCACATGCAGCGACTGCCTCCCTCAAGCTAAACACAAAACTACATTCATGGCACTTTGCCCTGATCTCTAACAAAACAGCCTCGGTAGTTATTTATAACACTATTGGCATTTTATAACTAAAGGCCATTACGAATATGTAACATGGGCACTAAAGCAGGTAGACAAGTTGTAATAAGCCTAAAATCTAGATACTTCAGCACAGAACTTCGAGAACCTTGTACACTCTCATGACCTGTCATTTTTAATCCACACCCTTCCCCTCTTATACATCCTGCCCAATGGCCGCAACCCTGCGCAGCCTTGTAGAAGAATAATTATCCCAATAGAAACCTGATGAATTACAACTAAATATGAACATATGTGGTACCTGATTTGATAATAAATCTGGTTTATTTTGTCTTTTACCTCTCTAAATGGGCTCAATGCGTCTTGACAGTCAAAGTTTGCTAATTTATTGCTTCAAAACAATTCAAACGCCTGAAGCAAAACGGTCTACCGACCCTAAATCCTTATTATAGATGTGCATGATATTCTGGAATCAGCCAGAAGAGGCCAGTGTGAATCACTACTGCAGCTTCTTTCGTTTCTACCGCTGCAAAAAAGCCCAAAGACAAACAAGAGACAAGTGAACTCCAAAACTTGCTTTCCCTTGTCCTATTCAAAGCTGAGCAGTAAACACATCCAAACTGATCTGATTTGGAGGGTCGCATGATTGTCTGATGCGTCGCACTTCCAAACTCATAAGCTAAGTTTGGTTCCTAAGCTTGTGCATCTAATTATCTGGTTAGAAAATATGACATGAAGCAGCAGCGGACTCTGAAAAGTACTGCACAGTTTAAACTCACTTCTGGAAAAAAAAACGAGCCGTCAATGAAGTGATATTGACAGCTAGTTAGGTTAGGGTAGTTAGGGTAGCTGCTCTCTTTAGCTGCTCTCTTTTATTAGCAGAGTAGCATCTGTAGCACGCTAGCTAACATTATTGCTGCCCTCGCTACAGATACACCGTGTAGGCTAGAAAACTACGCAAACAGCTACGGCTAACCCCTCTGCCTCCACCCCACAATAGTACACGGTGTCATTTAACTAGCTAACTAGCTGTGTCATTTCGCAAAGTGACGTTAGCTTAGGATAACAGTTCTCTGACAGTGCATCACTAGGCAGGAAGACGTTAGCAGGCAGTAGGTAAACTTACCTTCACAGGTGTTTGGCCGTCCCTAACAGCCGCCGCCGGGCTTGTAGTTTGACCAAACAGAACAGAACAGCACAGCTCACACTTGTGTTAACATCGCGTTTAGGCGATATGTCCAGTGTGTACGCACTCTCGCTTGCTAACGGCGACCGACCCGCGAAAAAAGCCAGTTTCGATACTCGTGAAGTTTCGTTTCATGTGAAAAGGGCGTGAGTGAGTGTGCGAGCTCGTGAGCTTGTGAGCTTGTGAGCTCGCGCGGCTTTTGTTGTTGTGTCTCACGCGCACATCTCCTGCTGGGCTGACTGTCTAACGGCGCTGGCGGACTGTAAAGCAGCAAAGACGTCCTGGCTGCGCGGGTATTTCCTTACGCAAACACGGTATGTAGGCAGCGACGGATTTAAAATTACAGAGCGAATGGTCAGGCTAACTCTGATTTACACCTGATAGCTGTCAGGTTACTTTCACTTCCCTGAGCTGAATTCAAACAGGACGAAAAAACAGGGTAGCACTTTATTTTGAAAATCCACTGTAGATGCTCACCTTGTCTTGTATTTAAAGGGGAAATTCTCTGCCTCATTCAGTCTTTTAGATGGAAACAAAGTGGTTTAGTCCGTTGTGATGTGACCGGTTCGTTGTAGAGAAACTAGATATTATACTCAGATCGTGATAGGAACCAGGGGTTGGCCGTGACGTCTTCACTGCAAATATAGCCGTTGTTTTTGCTATTCAAAATGGCTTTGTGTGACTTCTGAGTCTTTATATCTAAAGTTGATCGTGGTATTAGTGGTAAGTATCAAAATAAGTTTTCTTTGGGGATTACGTTGCCTCACATGTGCCCCACATGTGCTAGCAAAACAAAGTGTGACCAAAAATACAGTGGTTGTTGTTGTTATAATTAATAATGTTTTTTTTTATTGATGAATGAATGAATTAGTTTGTTTGTTTTGCATGGCTTTCTTTTTACTATTTAAATCTAAACTGTTCGCCTAAACCACTGGCAAGTTAGCTAGTTTAATGACCATGTATTTAAGACGCCTTTTTAAAAAATAAATAAATTAATAAAAAATGAATACATACATAAAAAAAAAAACCTCCCAGAGTGAACATTCAAACTATTTTTGAGCCTCAAACATATAAACTAGCTGACCCCTTGTGATGAGGAATGTCCCTCCATAAACAACATATATGGGCCCTATGACATGCTGTTTATGGTGGGACTTTCTTCAAGAGTGCAGTACTATCACTGTGACTCAGCATGCTGTTAAGCTATCCCACCCTGATATCCCCCTAACAGTGCAGTACCACGGTCAGCCACTGTGAAGGGAAAATACCCACATTCACAAGGTGTTTCGTTGAGGTTGCTTATGAGTAACTTCAGCTCTGCTAAAAGCTTCTGCATTAGTTACCACAAAACCACTCTATGCTTTCTGGTTTCAGTATGTCTGCAAGCTTTGTTTGAGTGTTTCAGACAGAGATGGTCTCCAAACCTTCCATCATCCCTCTGCTTCTCCCTGAGGATGAGCTGATATGCTCCATCTGCCAAGGGCTCATCAAGGACCCTGTGACCACACCATGTGGGCACAACTTCTGCATGAGCTGTATAAAAAGCCACTGGGGCAGAATATCTTCGGCCTTCTATTGCCCACACTGCCGGAGAAAGTTTGTTTCCAAACCCGATCTGCAACCCAACACTGTTCTCTGCTCTATCATGGAGCACGTAGTCAAGGTGTGGACAGAACCTGAGCCCGGCTTGGCCTCAGATGAGAAGAGTGCCAACTGTGACGTCTGCGAGGAGAGTCGCAAACTACCGGCGGTTAAGACCTGTGTTACCTGCCTGGCCAGCTTTTGCAAAATGCATCTGATGCCCCATACAGAAAGCCAGGCCCTGAAGAAACACTGCCTGTGCGCAGCAGTGGTGGACATCAAGGAGCTGCAGTGCAAGAAGCATGGAAAATTGCTCGAGATGTTCTGCATGACACACAGGGTGGCTGTCTGTTGGCAGTGCTCAGCCAAACACCGGAAATGCAACATGCGTTCAGTGGAGGAGATGAGGAAAGAGTGGAAGGTGAGATAACCCACCAGTCTATAAGTAGCATCAGAAGCTGTAGTGTTAAAGGAATAGTCCAGTGTTTTTAAGGTAACCTCTACCTGCTGAATCTATAGCATAATCCATTACAACAGACAATTACTGATGCGTTTTCCTAAAAGAACAGAAAGCCCATTTACTCTAAACAAGCCATTAGTTGCTTTCTGCATTGATGGAGTTTTCACAGGCTCCTGCACCAAAAAAAACCTAATTAATGTTATGTAATTACATGGATTTCAAACATTTAATCATCTCCCCAACTGACATTTGAAGTCATGCGTCATGCCCATATTAGGAACTCATATTTTTAAAATCTCTGTCGTCATGCTTGTGTTAAACAAAATTGCTCTAAACCTGATACATTTTGTCCAGTGTAAATTTTTTCCCCCGATGGTCACTGGATCCTCAGAATTAGCCATTTAGTTGAGGTCAAGGTTTTTAAAGTTTGAATATGAATAATGCTACATACATGCTACAAGCAAACTAACACTCCTGCACATTGAAATGATGTTGTATGAAGGTAAGTCTAACTTTAAAACTTTAATATAACAATACCAGTACTACTAAAATTGTAGACTGCAACTGGCAAAGCCACTTAACTACCACATTTGACAAAGCTTGCAAGTTTGCATGGGGTGTTTTGGTGAGGTTGGCACTCTTATGATGTCAGTATACATATTTTGACCACACCATGGCCTTGTAATTCAGAGGATCTAGTGATATTTGCAGGAAAAAATGTTTGTACCACAAAATGTATGAAGTATTTAAGTATATACAAACATTTTTGATTACCACAGGACTTGACAGTGGCACTTTTTTGAAAAAGCCATTAATTTGTCCCATAAGGAGGAAGCTTACTTAGACCCAGAGTTCCAAATATAGACATGATATTGACTACAGAATTGCAACATGACTTCAGAGGTCAGTGGCTTTCAATGTATGTGAAGTTCAGAGTAACACACTGAAGTTTTCATACATGGTAACCAATAGTACTATACAGATGTGAAAGATAGAGATCAAGTTGAAAAATGCTAGAGTATCTCTTTAATAAACAGTGACGGGCAGAAGCTCAAGACATTGCTGCGTGTGCTGTTTAAAGTAATGCATGGGGAAACTTGGCTGAGTTTGCAAGCCCTTTCCCTGCTTGTTTTGAAACTTGATTAAAACTGCAAGTGGAATCTACTTTGTTGCCATCACAATCTTTTTTTAGGCCTCAATCGATCCAGTTGCTGAGGAAGCTCAAAACAGAGAAGATGCCACTGGCGAAGCCTTTGAAACCTTAGACACACTGTCTGAAGGTTTAAAGGTAAGCTTGTTATGGTTATAAAGTTATTTTGCATTAATTTGGTAAGCTACAGGGCATGGGATATGTCACATTCTTTTCAACTAATTATAAGTCACTGACATTTCTCATTATGGCCTTTGTGTTTTATTTCTGAAATGGCCTTTAAAAGGTTTCAGCCAGCCCAACCAAATCATAGTAAAAATGTAGAAATGTTGATTGAAAAAGTGAAAAATTAAAAATAATATATAAACTCCATCATCTGTTAGTCCTGACTGGACCCTTATTGGACCTGGTGAGCAGGGTCTGCTTGATTATACCTAAAAGTAATACAGCCTTTGATGCTGTCAAGCAGAACCCGTCAGATCCTCTATTTCGTGCCTTCCAAGCACATCTGATGAGTTAGGCCTTGGTGCTCTTGTCCAAGGGGGGCGGGGTCTTTGTTGAAACTTATGGTTCCCATCAGCTACAGAACTCTGAAACTACATTGACAAGTCACATATATCTAGTAACCTTGGAAGTGTAAACATACCCTGATAAAGAAGGCTGGTGGTGTGGAAAGTTCAAATTAAGCACAAAAACTGGTAAAATAAATAAATAAAATCTGCACAACTTCAGAGTGATGCAACACCTGAAAAGAGATACATCTGTATTTGACCGTCAATAACCCACCTCCAAGAACATGCTTGAGCTGTTTCCTTCAGATCTGTAGTGGAACATAAGGCGAAGAGTTTACTTATTCAACAGGGGTCAGGCCGGGACTGTTTTCCAGGAGGATTTCAGCATTTTTAAGGCTTCCATGCGGCAAAGTGCCTATAGCTAATCATAGCTTAACATCTATTCAGTGAGTAGAAAGGAGCGTCCTATAGGAGAATCAATTGTGTTGCAATTCCTTTATATTTTCTTATAGGTTATCATTGCACTTTTTAAAGAATGTGTTTTGAAAATAACTCACTTCGTACAGAAAAAGTTTTTGAGCGGTCTTAAGTTTCATTCTGGGCTGCGTGGTCCTATCCAGTCATTATAAAGAGATTGTTTAATAAAAACAGTAATATGGGTAATTAGTGAGAGTTACAATGAAGTCATGCCAGTAAGGATGAAATCATGTTAACTGGATCTATCACCTTTCATTCTCTGTTAGCCACAATTAGAATTTGAGGAAACCAGTGCCTTTAACATTATCATAACTTTTATCTTCAGGCTGTTGCAGAGAAGATGAAGGAGGATGTGGAGCTTTGTTTCGAGACCCTAAGAGATACTATTGAGCGTGCTCAGGACAGAGTCATAGCTTTCATAGAGGCAGAGAAGGAGGGAGCTCTCCAACAAACAGAGGAGCAGAAGAGACGGCTGGACGATCACATGCTTGCCATATCACATATCATGGATCAGATCAATGAATGCAGAAGCAACGATTCTTATTTCAACTTTTGTCTGGTTAGTAGAGGATGGTAACTTAAAGAGACAAAGACAGTCTCCATAGAGATATCTCCATAGTCTGATTCTGATGAGTAATGTGTCTCTTTTATAGTCCCTGCCACAACTTCCTCCAGAGGTCAGTCAGCTACATGGATCTGATGTCCAGCTGGATGGTCGAGCTGTGGAGAGGATCGTCCTGGACCTCCAAAAGCTCAACAGTAGTGTGGAATCTCAACTCTGTGCCACTCTGACGAGAAGGGAGGAGCTGCGAGACAAAGGCAAGACAGCGTTTGGATAGTGTGATGATGTACTGAATTTCTGTAGAATTCATGTCAAGTTAGTGCACCACAATTTACATCTGCTAATAATGGGCTTCTTTCCTTCTCAGATTTGGCACTGGATGACTTCAGAGTTGTCAGTGGGCACAGCAAACGACGTCACAAGCTTTTGAAGTGTAAGACATATTATGGTTTCGTGGACTGACAAGACCATATTCATCTTTAAGGTAGATTTTAAGGCAGGAAGAGGAAGAAATGAAAAGCTCCTCATGCCAGCCATTTCAGGGTAATGTGTTCAAATCTGTCTCAATCTGACCTATGTGTCTTCTGGCCTATAGATTCCTGTGGAGTGACTTTTGACCCCATCACTGCTAGTGCTTCAGTGCTGCTGTCTGAAGATAGCTTGGCTGTCACAGTAGAGCACAGCGGGCTCCTAGCTTGGAAAGACTATCAGGTCAACATGGAAATGGGCTTCAGAGTGTTGTGCTCTCAGAATTTCATGAGGGGGCAGCACTACTGGGAAGTCAGTCCACCAGAGGACATCAACAGCAACTGGGCTGTTGGCGTGACATATAAAAACGGACCAGAGCGCTACCAGAGCTTGGGCCGAGATAAGAGCTCCTGGTGTGTCAGGTGGCAGAATGCAGGGAAGACAGAGAATAAGGATGAGAACAGCGAGAGAACAGAAGAAGTGGGAGGTGAGGAAGCAATATTAAGAAGGACACAAACTAAAGAAAGAGCCACATGTGCAACAGGGGAAGTCAGGGGACCAAAGCTGGAATCAAAACAGGGCAAAGAGGAAGCACACCCTAACAAATCTGAGGGAGAGAAGATAGAAGGAGACAAGCATAGAAGAGAAGCAAATCAAGCCTACCTGTCTGACAGCATAGCAGATGCTTCAAAAAGAGTGAAAGGAAAGGTAGCAGATGGAGACAAGAAAGATTCAGAGGTCATGGAGGACAAAAAGGGCATTGTGACAGCTACACAAGCGGAAGAAAACAAAGCCATCACTGGGTTTTTTGCCTCCCATAACCAAGAGATGCACTTGATCTCCCACGAGCCCCCTGGCAAAATAGGTGTGCATCTGGATTGCGATCGTGGCTGGTTGTCCTTTTTCACTGTGTCTGACTCCAAGGTCAAGCTCTGCTACAGATTTCAGGCCATGCTTTCTGCTCCTTTGTACCCTGCTGTCTGGCTAAGAGACCCTGAGAAGACAATGACCATTAGCAAAGGGGTTCATACTGCTGATAGCTGTGGAAAATGGGTTGTGGATTAATTAAGTCCACCTACCTTTAGTTGGCCTCAACATTACATTGTCTTTGTCATAGTGGAATTCTTTTCCAGTTTTTTAAAGGATACCTTTTTAAATATTCGTCACTATTGATGTTTGTATAACCAGAGTATGATACATTGCTTTCTAGGTCTAGTGTCATGTAGGCAGTATATACAGTATGTAATATTATATGGTATTATGATAGTTGGACTAAAATAGTAGTGTTGTTAATTTTACTATTAGTGCACAAACCCTTATGGACAGTGTAAGGTTGGAATCAAGGCTAACACATAAATGTAGCTTCAAGTTGAGGAAACAAGATAGATTTATTAGAGTTTATAACTGGATAGTCTGTTTTGATATAAATTCTACTTTCCCCTCCAATCTCTGCAGTTATTTGAAGGTTCAGTTGAACACAATCGGTCTCATTCAAACATATTTTCCGAAGTTTTTTCTCAAATTTGTTTAAGAAAAAGTCTACATCAGATTCATGATGTGTTCTTAAACTGCAGAACTGTTCGCAGAACGTTTGGTGAAAGAGGCCCATTGATTTTAAATTATCTGGAAGGTCTGAGAACTGCAGAAGTTATACTATTGCCATCCCACAAAGCCTTATGTCAATTTGTCAGTGTATGTCGCTACTTGTGATTTCACTATACACTCAGCAGCTTCTTTATTAGCTACACCTGCTCTACAGTTGTACTTAAAATGTTCAGTACCTTTTACAGTATTTTGGGACCACTGTTCTGCATAGTTTAGTCCAATATCATCTGTATTAAAAACTGTGATTATACTGGTGCTTACTTGCTTATTTTACAAAGTCTATGCAATTTCCAGTACTTCTTTAAGCTAGAATGGTGACAGAGGAGAGGAGATTTCCATTGTAAATCTGTTCAATGGAAGCATGTATCTGTTTGTTTAAACAAATGAGCCTTCAGGGTTTTTTTCCATGCATTTATTTCATGGTGCGTTGCTGTAGTTTTACCACTAGGTGGTGCCAAAATGTGTTCTACAATGCTGTGCATCAAACACGTTATGCTGCTTCTGTTTGACTCTTGCACTTTCCTTATGATAACTGTAGTCAATGTTATAAAAACATCTGAAACAAGCCCTCTAAATCATTACACAAGGAGGTTTACAGATAGGCCTTAAAACTTTTCTGTGATATCCTGGACTCATCTTATATTCATTATGTATAATTTCTCATTCTTGGTCAGTAGAATTTTTTTTTTATTATTTTAAATACAAGTATTACTGAATGTAATACTGAACCTACTGAGCTGACCATCTCTTAGACAGTGATTTCATATGTACACTTTTATATTACTATGTTTCCAGACATAGATTAAGCTTTTCTCTTACACTTTTAGCAGAAAGGGTTCTATCTAATACCAAAAAAGGTTCATAAACTCTTAAAAACAGGGTTTCTTTAAAGGTTCTAAAAGCAATGGTAGAACCGTCACAACTCAAAGAACCCTTTGCATGTTTAAGTGGTTCTTTGCACAGCTAAATGTTTCTTCTGTGATGTAAAACTTGTTGTGCATAGTTCTTTAACAAACCTTTTAAAAATGGTTCTAAATAGCACCAAAGGGGTTCCTCTGTTTTTCACGTCAATTACAAGTCAGCGAAACCCTTTTCAGTGCTTTATAGACTGATTTTTAAAAGGTTCTTTAAATAACCTTATACAGCAGGATCTCCCTCATAGAGAAGAATCATGTAAGCATTCAAGTGGTTCTTTAAATTATGTTTATATAATTTAAAGATGTGTATTGTCAAAATAGGGGTTCTGATCATTTTTAAGTCTGCATGTCTGCACCTATGTGGCATACATGTACAGTGCTGTGAAAAAGTATTTGCCCCCACCTGATTTCTTCTATTTGTGCTAATTTGTCACATTTAAACATTTCAGATCATGAGACTAATTTTAATATACAACAAAGACAACATGAGTAAACACAAAATGCAGCTTGTAAATCATCACTCCAATTATTAAAGATAAAGATTTATTTGAAACCTATATCACCTGTGTGAACAAGTAATTGCTCCTAAACTTAAGAACTATCTGTGCCACCCTTGGCAATCAGTTTTCAATTAGTTGCGATGAGCCCATGAACTGCCCATTTAGGGTCTTGCCACAGCATCTCAATGGGATTCCAAGTCGGGACTTTGACTTGGCCACTCCAAAACCTTATATTTGTTTCTTTTGAGCCATTCAGAGGTGGACTTGCATGTGTGCATTGTCCTGCTGCATAACACAACTGTGCTTGAGCTTTGGGTCATGAACTGACAGGCGGACATTCTCCTTCAGGATTTTCTGATAGAGAGCAGAATCATGGTTTCGTCAATTATAACAAATAGTCCAGGTCCTGCAGAAGCAAAGCAGCCCCAGACCATCACATTACTACCAACACGTTTGACTGTTGGTATGATGTTCTTTTGGTGGAATGGGGTGTTAGCTTTATGCCAGATGTAACAGGATCCATGTCTTCCAAAAAGTTCCACCTTTGACTCATTAGTCCACAGAATATTATCCCAAAAGTCTTGGAGGTCATGAAGATAGTTTTTTGACAAATGCAAGACGAGCCTTTGTGTTCGTTTTGGTCAGCAATGATTTGTGCCTTGCAACTCTCCCATGGATGCCATTTTCTCCCAGTGTCTTTCTCATTGTGAAATCGTGTACATTAAACTTAACTGACACAAAAGAGGTCTGCCATTCTTTAGATGTTCATCTGGGTTGTTTTGTGACCTCCTGGACGAGTCATCGATACACTCACTGAAATTTTGGTAGGCCCACCGCTCCTAGGAAGGTTCACCACTGTTCCAAGTTTTGTCTATTTGTGAATAATGGCCCTCACTGTGGTTCTCTGGAGTCCAGAACATTAGCAAGGGCTTTGTAACCCTTTCCAGACCGATTTCAATGACCCCCCCCTCCCCCCTCATGTGCTGCTTTTGAGACCTTCTAGCCTGCATCACATTGCCAGATAGGTTCTATTTAAGTGATGTTTAAATCCAACAGGTCTGGCAGTAATCATGTCCAAGTGTTGCTGGTGGGATTGAACCCAGTAGCGAATTGGCTGATTTAGAAGGTAAGGGGCAATTAATTTTTCTCATAGGGCCTGGTAGGGCTGAACAGCATTTTTCCTTCAATAAAAGAAGTCATCATTTAAAAACAGCATTTTGTGTTTATTTAGGTGATTTTTGTCTAAAAAGAAAACAGTTTGATTATTTATATTATTAAACATTAAAGTGTGAAAATGTTCAAAAATAAAAGACATTGGGAGGGGCAAATACTTTTTCACTGCACTGTATTTATACACATAAATATTCAGGAAAAAGTTTGTTTATAGTATAAATTTTATAGAGCGTTTGTATACAGATATCTGTTGGGTCCTGTCTTTAATGTCGAGTAGCCCATGTTTTGTTTCACAATGCTATTAGTATATAATAAAGTGGACCACTGTTTTTGAGTATGTTGCATGTATAAAATAATCTAATGATACCAGAAAATCTCATGTAGGAACAGTACAAACATTTTGGTTCTAGAAAGAACTTTTTTAATGATTCTTTAAAGAACGACATACAGCAGGTTTTCCTTATGAAACGAACCATTTGACCATGCAAAGAATCATTTATGCATTCAGATGGTTAGCTGAGTGCTCATGGTTCTATACATAAACATTGCCTTTACTTAAGAACCCTTGAATAACAACTTTTAGGGTGAACTGGCTGAATTTCAGTCTGCTTAGATGAAAAGTCAGCCTGAAGATGAAAGTGATTTACACGTTTTCAAGAGGAATCTTGTGCATCATAAATTCACTGTAAACTTAAATAAGTTGACATTACTTAAAAAACATGCAAACTTATTGCCTCAAAAAATGTCACTTAACAGTCTCAAGCTTAAATAACTTTATATATGAGTTAAAGTTGCTTTCTAATTTTCAATGATCCACACTTCTGCAACAATAATGGTTAACTCACACAGACCAATGATTTTAAATGGTTTCCATTGAGCTGGTTGTGCTCCACTTTTTCAAGCTCTGCTTAGTCTTGACTTAACTTGAATCACATAATGTTCCATATGTAACATATTAGTATAATTTCAAACAACTCCACCGAGCAGGCATTTCAACGTTTATTCACGGTTCAATCAATCCCAGCTGGCCCATGACCGACCTTCAACTTTGAAATGTGGTTGAAATAATGTCAGTTGTTGTTTCAACGTTGAAAAAATGTTGAAACAACTGTTAATCTTAAATGGTTGTGAAAAGGTTGACAGAATACTAATAAATCAACGCTGAAATTTCAACTTTAAATCAACATAATGTCAAACATCCTGCTTTATAAATATGATCATTATTATTATTATTATTATTATTATTATTATTGTTTTATTAGCATTTTTATATTTTGATCATAAGACCACTTCAAAAATCTAAATTTATAATGTTAAAAATAGAAAACAACAGCAACAATAATAGTAACAGGCAAATTAAGTTTGCGAAAAAACCGTGTTTGCCGCCTGTTGAAACAGCATGAACACTGAGGCGGGTTGAGTACACCCCCATTTTGAGGCTGCACGAGTGCGCCTGCGCTTCGGCGACGCGCGCGACTCACCAATGTTCAACTGAGCGGGAACAGCGGTTGGAGCTGCTTCTGGAAACTTCAAAAGGCTTCGAAACGTATTTGGTGAGTAATACTTGGTTTATTTGACGTACCAACAGTTTTTAATCAGACATTTACTTACTTAAATTTATAATCCTATAATCTGATGATGTTGAACTCTTTATACAATAAATCGAAAATTAGCCTCACTTGCTAAGTTAGCTAGTTAGCCGGTGGTCTGCTATGGTGAGCTAGCTGGGTTAGTCACCTTGACTCTGTTTGCTCTCACAGTGTAAGAAATTATGAAGTCAGTTAAAAGGTAATTTTTTTAATTACTTTTTTAAAATTGGAACGACATTGTCGAATTCATGTTCTAAATCTAGCTAATAAACTGTGAGGGGAATTCCGGCGCTTTTTAGAGAGCCAGTTCTTTTGGCTCGGCTCACTAAAAAGAGCCGGTTCTTGGCTCCTCAGATTTTTTGTTGCTTAAATTATTACCAAATTATGTGTAAAATGAATGACTAATGTAAAAACATACATCATATCAAATGTTTATTATTTATATGGCTTTATTTAATAGCAGGTTCCCTTGCTTGTCTTTTCTCTTCTAACTTATTTGCATTGATGGATGAACAGTTCGCATATGCCTGTGCAGGTTGTTTGTGGAGCCTGCTCGATATGAAATTTTAACTTTACAGTCTACACTCTGCCTTTGAACTGTCTATCACATTAAAATGTGTCCAAACTTTACTACGTTTCCATCACTCACTTTCCTCACCTTTCCGGCGTGTAGTCTATCTGACTATGTGAAGCGCGAAGCTCTCTCGCTCTCTCTTGTCTCCCGAGAGAACTTTGCGGGAGACTCTCCCTCCCTCCTGTTCGTGTGCTCACTGTGCTGTGTGTGTTTGTAACCCCTCCCCTCCTATTTTTTTTAAGTCCTGTTTCAGTGTCTTTTTTCCTCTTTTACTTCTACGCTCCCTATTAACCTGCCATATTTTAAGCTACGGAAGCTGTTCTCGCCAGGAGTGAACAAAGTACAAAACTTCTGAACATGAGTAAAAGTAGAAATCTTAAAGTACAAGTATTCTATTTGTATTTTACTTGAGTTAAAGTACAAAAGTACTTGTTTTTAAGTTGTGAATTGAAAATCATAATGCACTATATGTTCATTTAATTTTTGCAAAAGTAAGTACACTTTTATGAAAGATTATGGTAAAATAAGAATTTTGTTATGTGATGAATTAATGAATTAATGAATTAAACAGGTGTTAAAGAAAAATACACACGAAACTGAAATGTGCAGTACTGTGCTTTGTTTATATATATAAACAAAGCACAGTACTGCACATTTCAGTTTCGTGTGTATTTTTCTTTAACACCTGTTTATTGGTATATGGTAACTGTTTATTCACATATGTACTGGCTTCTATTTTGTCTGTGTTGTAGGCAGGTACTGTATATTTATGTAAGACAATTAAAGCAATGTTTCCAAATGATTTCTAGTGTTGTCACTGAAATTCATGTATGCATACAGGTGAAAACAGGTGAGCTTTAAGAATGTGTTACTTTACAAGACATGATACAGCGCATACTAGCTTAATAGATGATGCACATTAAAACTGTGGCAGACTATTGGTTGTTCAGCTGTGTTCACCTGTGCTGTATTCACTGGGGATTGGGTCAGTTGGTTTTCTTTTTATTGTTGTCTGGATTCTGTTATGCTATTTCAGAATAAAAGTGAATGTTAGTCTACATATGAGCAAATGCTATGCTTTTGATTGAGGTACATGTAGTTAATAAATAGAGATTTAAATTTACTCAGAAACTATATGGAAGTAAATTAAATTAGTTTATTTTGCTTGCTGGGAGTGTTAATATCACGACGCATCCGGATGTGAGGCGAGCATTTAGGCCAGTATCCAAACCAAACTCTCGGCCAATGAGGTTCAAGCTCGGTGTGCAGTCTACGGTCTAGATGTGGCCCAACTGATTTTTGCTATCTGGGAGACTCAATGTTGAAAGGTAAGACGTTGAAACAACGTCGCGATGTCAACGTTGATTGATCTTTCAAAATCGAAACATAATCCAACGTTGTTTCAACCTTGATCTACTTTGTTAAATGGATATAACAATAAACAAGCGGCTTATAATGAACAGAAACCAACAAAACCGCCAAGTATGCTGAGAAGGACTCATCTAAATTAACAACTAGATTACTATCCGAGTGACAAGAAATAGTGTTATTAGATTTGTATTGGTCATTTTAACAACAACAAAAAAAAGTTAGATAACCCCCAAAAATGAAGTTGCAATTATTATGTTTTACATTGAGCGAAATGTCTGCTTTTTGTCTGCCACTGAGGGATAATTTCTCAGATTGCAGAAATCGCACTCAGGAATCCTCTCCGGCGGAAATGAATCATCGCCGAAATGAAGTTGACGAAATGTGGACCCGCTCGGAGCTCGTATATAAAGCTCAGACTGTGGAGGAGCAGAAACAGGTGAGGTTCAGTCTGAGTGAACGCTCAGTTGAAGGAGTGGCTAAAAGGACTCCCTCCTCAGCATCTTCGACCATGGTGAAGTTCGATAAGTGGGCTCTGGCAGTGGTACTTGTTTCAGTACTCGCCGCGTACAGACCGGCAGAGGCCTGGTACAAACAAGCCGCCGGACCCACTTACTACTCGGTGGGCAGAGCGTCCGGTCTGCTGTCCGGAATCCGCCGTTCACCGTTCAGGAGAGCCGAGCTGGACACGCAGGAGAGCAGAGAGTCCTCCGAAAACGAGCTGCTCTCAGACGCTTACCTACACCGCAGCTCTGCCCTGAACAGCATGGTGAGTCTCGTTTATTAACGGTTACGTCTACAATCTAAACGAGAAAAAAAGTATTTTTTTTAAGTTTACAACAGCAGCAACACCATAGAGCTGTGATCATGCTACCAATTATGCTACGTTTTAGCCAAGGAAGTAAGGTTTTCTTACTTCTTTGGCTAAAACGTCAAATATCACGAAGAAAATGGTCTCATTTCCACCATATCTATAATTAAAGGGTTGAGAAAATTATCGTTAGCTGTTTGGTCAGAAAATTGACGGCACGCGCACTAGCGATGTCCGACTCATAAGTGAATCGTTCTTTTGAATCGGTTCACAAGTCCAACGGCATCAAGCTTTTTATCAACATCTACACACGGCGCTACAGGTTGAATGATTATAGTAAAATTCGAACAGCAATAATTAACAGTATAACGTCACTAAAAATCACTTTTAAAATTGCTTACATTTCTCTGGCTTCCTCTTTCTGTGCTTGTCAATCGGAAGTTTGATTCAGTGAACGAATGAATCGGTTCGTTGAAGCTGAATCGAACGTCCCGTCAGGTGCGTTCACTGTAACAAATGTGAATTAATCTGTGAGTAATTTACTATCTGCAGAATATCTGTGTCAAAGACGTGACGCCGAACCTGAAGAGCTGTGAACTCGTCCGGGACCCGAGAGACACATTCCGCTGCGAAGCGACCGTGTTCATCTCCCTGGACTCCACAGAGTGTGTGAACGCCTGAGGAGCAGCAGCTTCACCAGAAGACTCTACCTCCCAGTTAACACGGACGAAGCCGTTACAGCCTGTCTGTCATTTTATGTGTCCAGCTGTTCTGGTCTGTAGACGATTTGTTCACTCGGTTGCTGTACTAATTGGGACCGATTCATTTGAGCAAAACATCATTGAGTTTATACTGTAGAACTGAGCCACACTGTTTTACGTACACACTGACCTTAAATGTTTTGAAATGAATGTTTTTAGTAACATAAAACTAGTTTGGTTGCTGACGTCTATTAAATGATTCAAATATGCCATTCCTGTACAACTTTCAACAGCTTTCAAATAATTAGTTGGACACTAAGCTATAAAAAAAGAAAGATGAAAATCTTCAGAATGATTCACAGAGCCGTACAAGACTCTAATATGACTGACAAAGCTGTATAACACTGAGAAGTAAATTATTCATCATTATTTTTAAAAGTCGATCAAATCTCAAGCCAGATAAATTGACCAAAAAAATCATGTAATTATATAATTATAGTATAACATTTAACCTGTTCAGTGCATTTTTGAACTACTGAATAAATCATCTAAAAATACACTTTGGCTACCAATTTGCAATATTTTAATTCATTCTGAGTTACAATTGAATATAAAATGGCAAGTGACTTCAAACTTTCAAAGAGTGTGTGTGTGAGTGTGTCTGTGTGTGTGTGTTTAGCTCCTCATACACAGTGAATCTGAGGGCAACAGGATCCAAGAACTGAATTCAGGAATAAAAAATGTGAAATAAACATGAAAAAAAAAAATCCTCTTTTGTCTTAGTTTTAAAAATCATGCAAATCATATAACTGGTTTTGTTGAAAAACAAAACATTTATTACATAACATGTCCATGGTCTGACACACAATACCAGTCATCCTAAACATTAATAAAAAAGTACATTAAAAGCATTATAAATACAAATCTTACATGTGCTTGAAGGTTAATGCTTCCCATTCTTAGAGCAGGGATACAGCTTCAAGGTTCTGTCTTGAAATTGTGTTCACGACAGCAGAAAACACATCCCGCACAGTCACCGTGTCTGTGGCGTTGGTGTAGTGAGGATACACCAGCTTGCCTGAGGTGGTGCAACGTGCCACAAACAACGCAGTAACATAACGAGCTGCTGCATTCACGTCATAGTCCGGTCCTGTGGCACATGGCAGGGAAACGTCTGAGTCAGTGTTCACAAACTAGAGTAGGAGCGCTGTTGTTAAAGTGATCGTTGGGGGGTGGGGTGCACAGGCAAGCATGTGCTGATTTAGTTTGAGAAATGCTAAATGGGCCATAAGCTTCCACTACTTGTCATCTCCATTAGCCTTGTAGCTCCAGTGTAAACATAAAGAAGCAACCTTCAGACAACAAACAAGTCTTGAAAACTAATTGAAAACGGTAAGTTTAGTGATTTTTTAAGAAGCTATCACTTCAACAGAGAAGGTGCAAAATCTCGGTTCACCATAAATAGGCAGGAATCTAATCCAAGAACTACAGAGATCTGCTGGTAAAATCTTAATTAAAAAAAAAGTGTCAACTTACTAATGTGTGGGAATGAGTTGTGGTCACTATTTAGTAAGGCATATACTTATGATCACTTTATTATCTCATTCCCACAGAATACTAGGTCGTAGCCACAACTTGACTAAAACGAATTAACTAACTTGTTCCCACACCTTACTAAGTAATGGCCACAACTTGCATTAGGATTCTATTCCCTTGTCTTAGTAAGTTGTGGCCAAACATTATTTTTATTAAGAACAGGTATCACCAGCAGGGATCTGTATAGAACAGCCTCCCTGCTCCAAGATGGACCACCAGCCAAGAAAATCAGGTCAACTGTCCTGAATCAGTCAAACATTATTTCAGGTATCACTGAACCAAAGTGAATTCTAAAGACCCTTTATCAGCTGGTTAAGCTCATTTGTGAATTAATATCCTTAAAATGTGTGTTACCCATCATACAATAACATTTATTATGAAATAACAAATAAAACCCAGAATGTCTCACTCCAAAGTTTCCAGTTCAGAAGATGTGGGCCTCACCTTTAAAGTCGGAATGGTAGAGTCTCAGGTGTCTTCCAGAGTGCAAAATCTTCTCACAAAACAGATCAGTTTTGTTCATTAATAAAATCTGTGGATGTAAACAGAAAATGTGAGAATAACTGGACTGTAAAACTATAAAACACTGACCTGATCTCCTTAACACTCACTTCTACACAAAGAATAGATATGTAAACAATCAGCTGCTTGAGGAGAGGGGTGAAAATTCTAGGGTGACAGAACTTTGTTACTATACTTACGTATGATTTTCAAAGATCTCTACTGGAGTACTATTGAAATTAAATACTTGTACTTTTCTGAGAAAAAATAAACCTTTTACTCCTAAGATTTTCATTTAGACCTTATTCATTAAAAATCTCGAATGCCAGATTTTTTCTTTGAAACTGCCCACATGTACACTAATTTATGTTTGTGCCTTCACATATAACCTCATCACACACCACCAAAAAAAAAACTTAATTTATTAAAATATTTACTTTTACACTATACTTTTAACATTTTACATATGTACTGTATACTTTGTATGCTTGAATATGTTCGAATGTAGATAATTTTCACTTCCACTCAAGTTTATTTTTGGCTGTATATTCCACTTCAGGTATGATTTTGACAAAGTACTCAGACCTTCACTTCAGTATAGTTTCTCTGTACCTTTTCCACCCCTGCTTAAGGAACATTTATATAAGAATTTATGTTTTCCTTCCAATAACACATCAGATTTGGTTTACATACTGCCATATTGCTTTATTATGAGCTAACAATTTGAATCAGACATGAACCTCAAAACACCAAAGTTGGTGCTCAAAAACACAAGCTTAAAAAGCATCTTTAAAGGAATGGTTCCCAATCAAATTTACCCCAAATGTAGTAATCACACATACATAAAGGAAGTTCTTACATTTCATATGATGTCATGCTGTATAATTGCTGCCATTTTGAGGACTGAACAGGGGACTAACTGTGCTAGCTAATGAGATGCCTTTCTATTTGATGTGCTGTTTTTCACATCACAACAATCTGGCTGACCACGATAAGCCTCCTTAATTACCTTTAGTTGTGATCAAACCTAACCAACTTTTGTCTTTACCTAAAATTCAAAAATTGTCTTCCATGTTAGCAGCAAGTGCCACATGCCATCCCAAAAACATCCCCTGCCACAAGTCACTTTTCTTTAAATGAACATAGCTGGCTACATATTTAGGCATCACTGTAAGCTAGTGAGCTACAAACCAAAGGTATTAGTACACATAGTATACCTCAGAGTTTGCAAAATATATAATTTTACACAAGACAAACATGAATTGTCTTCATAATTTAAATAAGATATGAGAAAACAAGTTGCCAGTATTAAGTTCCACTTGCTACTGGCATATAAGCCACTTGAAACCAGCAATAAACGTCAATTCTTCACATGCCATGTTACACTTGACTTAAACATCAATCATTACATTAATCATTGAAATGAGATACGGAAAAAATGTTCCAGTTGCAGCTGACATTCTATTCATTATTGGCATGTTGTATATGCCAGTGGCAGGTTAAACGTCATTTCTTTCATGTCAGTGGCATAAAAAACAGTCATAGGCAAACATCCCTGGTAAGATTACATGTTTTGTTGATTTTCTAACTGAAAATATGTAAACACATCCTCTACAGAGACCTAACTTAAATAAGACACTTTCCTGCATATTATAGCGCAGTTTCTTTTTGTTTGCTGACACCAGGGGAAAAAAACAAAACAAAATATAAAACGTGCCACCACATTTGCACAGGCCACATTTTATGTTTGATTTTTTCCCCTCCCCAATGTGTTAAATTCAGCAAATAAATACAAGCATGTTCTCTGTAGAGGATGTGTTAAGTTTAATTAGAAAACATGTAATTTGACCAGGGGCACCTGAACTTTTGCATACAACCATAACATATTGGTTACACTGACTTCTGGGAAATGGCCGCACCCTAGTGATTTTGTCCAGGTACTGTTTCTTTCTCTTCCAAAGTTCATTTTAGTCACCTTTCACATCTAGTTATGTTGTGATGACAAAAATTCAGTCCCAAATATGAAAAATCATGTGACAGAAACAGGGTATTATCCTCATAGCTCCACTATAAAACTAAAGAAACAAACAGGTATTAGGAGAAAACTGAGTTTATTTGATATTTCTGAGAATTATTCCTTTATTTCTGTTATCCATTTACAGATGAGACTTAAAGTTTGGATTTTCAGATTGCTAAACTACTCAGGATTAACCATAACGAGAAATAACAATGCATGAGTCTCTGGTTAGGTCGTGACCGTGCTGCTGAACTTTAATGCAGTGACTCCCCACAGTTGATCATGCTTTTTATAGACTACAGATGATGTTAGAAGCAATTACAGCCAGTTCTAGTAGATGGCAGAGAGGCATCTAGAGCCTTTGATGTCTTTAATAACACTAGATATATCATATGAAGAGGGCATGTTCATGTATTATCAAAGAATCTTTAATATCACTCAACAATAAAACCGCATCCCTGAGGACTGTTAGTAGCCTAAATAACACTCAAAGCAAAGCAAATCATCAGCTCACCAGTGAAGCTTTCCTGAAATTTGCGCTGTTGCATACAGTGGTAAAGAGCTCCAAGCTCTCTTGTAGACGGTTCTTGGGGGAAAGGACAGAAGTCATTAGAAAAAATATATTTAAAAAAAATGCCTTCACAACAAAATTATTAGCCAAAAAAACTATCTACAGGGTCTTTCTCTTGAACTAGAGTCTACTACTTTTTTTTGACGATCTAAAAATTGATACTCCAACGTGCATTATGCTTTGAGCTTCATGAACTGTAGATATCATTGATTATTACTCACCGAAAAGGGGTGCTCAGGAAGGGTTAGATCATACCCACTAAGAGCCACTACAAATAGCACAGCCCGGACATCGTCAAAATAGCTGAACCACTTCTTCCTCTCGGAGCACTGACTGCCCACATCATACATTCTGTGAACAATGTCACATAATATCCGGATCAATTAATACCTGGACAAGTTTGTAGTAGGTGGAATCTACTTTTGCCCAGCGAAAACGCTTATCCTTTAGATTTCCATGAAATGCTTGCTTAAAAACAAATTTCTCACTTTTTGAAATAAAGAGCCTGATGTAGTATGTTTTGCTCAAGTTTAAAACCATTTGCTTCCCAGTATATACAAAAAGTATATAAGTAAACTAAGCTGCTAAACCAACCTGTTTTGAATTTACTGTTTTTGTAATGTCACAAATCCAATGCATTTACAAACCTTCAATTCCTAAAAAAGTTGGGGCAGTATGTGAAAAGCAAATAACAACAGAAAGCAGAGAGTTGTAAATCCATTTTGGCCTGTATTGATGTTTAATGTTTTATCAACATCGTTTTTCACAAATATGTGCTCATTCTGAAAGTGATGTCTGCCCCACGTACCAAAAACGTTGAGACAGAGGTAATTTATGTTCATAATATAAATGTCTTAAACAGCTGATGAAATCATGCTTGTGTATAAAAGAAGCATCCAGGAAAGGCCTAGTCCTTTATGAGCAAGGTTGGGTTGCCACTTTACTGAGAAATTAGCAAATAATCCAACAGTTGAAGATCAACACTCCTCAACAGCAAAAACTTTAGGTAATTTAGGGCAAGACTGAAACCTTAATGACCTTCAATCCCTCAGACAGCACTGCATTAAAAACCGGCATGCTTCCGTGATGAAGAGCACCACATGGGCTCAGGAGTACTTTGACAAACTGAGGTCAATAAACGGTTTTCATTACTGCATCCACTGCAGTAGCCATGTGTCAACAACGCCCAGCAATGCTGCCAACTTCTTTGGATTCGAGTTCATCTGAAATGGATGGATGAACAGTGGAAAGGTGTATTGTGGTCTGTGTAAACATGTGAAGTGATGCATCATGAAGTGAAAAAAATGACAACGAAGGCCCCATATGATTGTGCAGCTAAGACTTGTATGATGGAAGAATGGCAAATCGTTCTGCTTTCAAAACTATATCAAATAGTGTCTTCGGGTCCCAAAAGATTATTAACTGCATTTAAAAGAAAAAGTGATCTAACATAGCAGTAAACATGGTCTCGTCAAAATTTATTTGGAATGCGTTGCTGCATTGCAGACCTCAAATTTGGAATGAGCGTACATTTACAAAAATCAACTAATGTCACATTTTTAGGTCAAACAGAATTTACCAAATTAATGCTCACTGTTTTTGTTAGTATATTACATACTGTCAGCTACTTTTTGGAGCAGGTTAATACATTTATCCACCTGTTCAGTCTACAGCAGTTTAGCTTTGCCCATTAGTGTTGGAGTGTTTCGGCCCAAACTGTTTTTGCAATGAGCCACAATACAGCCAGTCAAATCATTTACAAATATATCAGTTTTAAAGGCATGGTGCCAAAAACAGCCTGTTTAACAAAAAACAACTGGCATGTCCAAACTTTTATTACACCCGTCTAAACCTAAGACTCAGAATAGCTAGCTTGCAATGTAGGCAACTGAGCTACCGAATAATAAGCATCTAATAAGCCGGGACAATAAGGGATTAATTCTAAGAATAAAGAGAGGCCAATAATATAAGTCATGATATAATAGAGAGCAAATATGAATAATGACTGGATTTGGTACATAAACCCACAAAAATGTCACAAGTGGATAAAAAAAATTAAATGACAAGAAAAACATAGGATATACGTCCTTAATTGCCAAAAGCAGTCCATTTATCTAAGCAAAAGGCACTTCATTGCTCAATAAAGAATATGACTCATTTGTCATATGATTGTTTCATATGTATCCTATGCTATAATGGCACAAATGTAAGGTTTAATAAGGGCAGCCCATGTATCACTTGTTAGAGTTAGATGAAAGAAAGATGAAACAAGGTCTACTTTTAAATTCACAATTGCATAACATTAAAATTGGTATAAAAATAAGGACAGCGTAGATTTGCCTAAGCCATAAATGTATAACGGCGTGGGCACTTATGTTTTACGTTTTCTGACTACCTTTAAAACAAACCTCTTCCTTGTCAAACTTTTTGATTTAGTAAAGTTTCATGTAATGTAAACCAATGGTAAAGCCCAAGTAATGTTAATTTCTTCAAAGGACACAGGAGATCAATTTAAAAGGTGCTTAAAGTGGCTTTCACACCAAGGTAGGGGTGATCGACCAGTGCTGGCACTTATGTTTTGCTACTGACTACCTTACCTTTAAAACAAACATCTTCCTTGTCAAACTATGATTTAGTGAAGTTTCATGTAATGTAAACCAATGGTAAAGCCCAAGTAATGATCATTTCTTCAAAGCACACAGGAGACCAATTTAAAAGGTGCTTAAAGTGGCTTTCACACCAGTGTAGGTGTGATCGACCATGCACACAAAGGTGTTAAAGGAAAAAGGAAATGAAAGATTAGAGATCAATCCAGCTCCCCATTCAAAAAAATACTATTTTCAACTAAGACCGGACTGTCCACATTTCTCCTACAAGACAGGAGTCATCACCCCTTAACTTTTACCAGATAGTTTGTTCATTTGAACAAACATCTGTACATAATTTGTATGGAATCATCAAAATAAACCAAAAAAAGGTTCATTTTTAATTTCCTTTTTTCCTATTTTTTGTAGAACTTTGTAGCAACCATTTTTTAGCCAATCACAGCTTACTGTCAATCATCTGATCTGATTGAAATCATCTCTAACATGCTACTTAAGTAACTGGTTAAAGGGGCTAGCATTTAATATATAACAAAGTATATAGTATTCTGTAGTGCATCACTGCATCCCTCAGCATCATCAATTTGACAATTTACAATTTTGTATTGCATTTTCATCTATCTATATTCACTCACAGCTATACCTAGCATGCATTACATAAATGTGTCATACAACCATTTAGAATCCCCCACTGAGACAAAGACATCCTGGCTGCCAGCATAGCCACTGAATAAATACAAATGTGATATTTGGCTTTCTAGCTGTAACGTTAGCCATTAGGCTCCCTTCTGCATTTGCCAGCTAGCAGGGAGAAAAAAATAGATATATTCCAAGCACCATGCCTTTAAGTACTCCCCACTCCCCTAAAACCCCTCCCCTTTCCTTGTTTACCAGGGATGGTGTGCTTTTTACCTCTGGCGAACAGGGAATTCAGCCAACTGCGTTTGAACAGACTGATCAGAGGAGATAAAGCACAACAGAAACAAATAAGCTACCGTGGTAACATGAAAAACTAAAATCTTCATTAATAATAAATCTTCATCAATAAGCTAGTGAAATCTTCAAATAATCAACCATTAAATGTTACACTATTAGATACAGTGGGGTGCGAAAGTTTGGGTAGCCTTGTTAATTTTCCTGATTTACCTTTATAAATCATTGATTGTTTGGATAAAAAAATTCTGTGAAATATATCATATAGGGGACAAACAAAGTGATATTTGAGAAGTGAAATGAAGTTTATATGATTTACAGAAAGTGTGCAATAATTGGTTAAACAAAAGTAGGCAGGTGCATAAATTTGGGCACTGTCGTCATTTTATTGATTTCAAAACCTTTAGAACTAATTATTGGAACTCAAATTTGGTTCGGTAAGTTCAGTGACCCTTGACCTCCATACACAGGTGACTCCAATTATGAGAAAGGGTATTTAAGGGGGGCAATTGTAAGTTTTTCTCCTCTTTGCATCTTCTCTGAAGAGTCGCAGCATGGGAGTCTCAAAACAACTTTCAAATGACCTGAAAACAAAGATTGTTCACCGTCATGGTTTAGGGGAAGGATACAGAAAGCTATCTCAGAGATTTCAGCTTTCAGTCTCCACTGTGAGAAACATTGTGAGAAAATTGAAGACCACAGGCACAGTTCAAGTCAAGGCTCGAAGTGGCAGACCAAGAAAAATCTCGAATAAACAGAAGCGAAGGATGTTGAGAACAGTCAGAGTCAACCCACAGACCAGCACCAAAGACCTACAACATGATCTTGCTGCTGATGGAGTCACTGTGCATCGTTCAACTATTCGGCGCACTTTACACAAGGAGATGCTGTATGGGAGAGTGATGCAGAGGAAGCCTTTTCTCCGCCCACATCACAAACAGAGCCGCTTGAGGTATGCTAAAGCACATTTGGACAAGCCAGCTTCATTTTGGAATAAGGTGCTGTGGACTGATGAAACTAAAATAGAGTTATTTGGGCATAATAAGGGTCGTTATGCATGGAGGAAAAAGAACAAAGCACTCCAAGAAAAACACCTGCTACCTACAGTAAAATTTGGTGGTGGTTCCATCATGCTGTGGGGCTGTGTGGCCAGTACAGGGACTGGGAATCTTGTTAAAGTTGAGGGACGCATGGATTCCAATCAATATCATCAGATTCTGGAGATCAATGTCCAGGAATCAGTGACAAAGCTGAAGCTGCGCCGGGGCTGGATCTTCCAACAAGACAACGACCCTAAACACTGCTCAAAATCTACTAAGGTATTCATGCAGAGGAACAAGCACAACGTTCTGGAATGGCCATCTCAGTCCCCAGACCTGAATATTATTGAAAATCTGTGGTGTCACTTAAAGAGAGCTGTCCATGCTCGGAAACCATCAAACCTGAATGAACTAGAGATGTTTTGTAAAGAAGAATGGTCTAAAATACCTTCAGCCACAATCCAGACTCTCATTAGAAGCTATAGGAAGCGTTTAGAGGCTGTTATTTCTGCGAAAGGAGGATCTACTAAATATTGAGTTAAGGTTTTTTTTTTTGGTGCCCAAATTTATGCACCTGCCTAATTTTGTTTAGACAATTATTGCACACTTTCTGTAATTCATATAAACTTCATTTCACTTCTCAAGTATCACTGTGTTTGTCCCCTATATGATATATTTAACGGAATTTTTTTATCCAAACAATCAATGATTTATAAAGGTAAATCAGGAAAATTAACAAGGCTGCCCAAACTTTCGCACCCCACTGTAAATAACTATTGGTAAATGCTGAACAGCGCTAAGGAAAACAAAGTAGAATCAGTTAAGCTAGCACTAGCTTAAAAGGCTAATAACTAGGCTAATAGATTCTGCCTCTAACACTAACAACGACAGTGGTTTATAAAGATGTAGCATGCTAAACAACTGCTACCTGATAGGACAGTTCTACACACCATAGAAGTGTCTCAAAGCTAATAACGCAGTTGAGGCAAGAGAGACCGTCCTAGTACTGGTATACATAGGCTCCTCTTCATTGATCACATGACCTGAGCAAGCTGTACTGACACGTCATGGCTTAGTGATGTAAGCAACACAAACTTTTAAAAACATTAAAGTAAAATTTACACTTCATTACAAATTCTTGTGCCACACAGCATCTCTGCTGCCTAAGTTTTTCAAATTGTTTTGAGCTGACCGTGAAGGACTGTGGGAGACTGAATCTCTTGAAAGATACATCAGCTGCACCCTTCAGTAACGATGCATTTCCATATTCAAATCATCCTAAAAACAGGACAGATTTTGGTGACATAATGGCCTAGAAATGCAGCTTTCCTCAGCTGCACCCTTAGAGACATGGCTCATATTTAAGAGTTTATAAGATAAACATGTAATTCAAATTCGAATTTACTGTCAAATGACAACACACACTTACATTAATTTGAATTTAGGACATTTTGAAAGCTAGGTGCACACAAACATTTGTCAGTGTACACTACGTTTGAACCCTGCACTGCATACAGTCTTCCAACAAAGCAGGGCCTTGAAGATCTATCTATAACCACATCCATTACTACTGTTCTGTGACGCTTCTGGCTTGGGACTTTGTGACACAGGGGTAATTGCAGGAAAAAGATCACCTGCCAATTTAGAACACAATCAACAGAAGAGAAGGTCCTAGTCACTCAAAAGACATTTTAGAATTATCTCCAAATCACACTTTTGCGACGAACATGTAGTGACGAACGTATTACCTGACGCTCTTATCCTGGCTTCTGAGAACACTGCGCGTTTTGTTTTGTTCTATCCTTGTACAGAAACAGATGGTGAGTGTGAAAGATGGTACACATACAGATGTGTTACACCACACCTCTGACTTCTGAGGGACCCAAATGCAAATAGAGAGAAAGTGAAAGACAGAGAGAGTGAGAGAGAGAGCAATGTGCTCACAGTCCTCACCTCCACAAGTGCAGGCAATCAATATTTCATGGCTCTGAATCACGCCACAGCGTGGGGGCCTCCTCCAGCTGTGTGAAGCTGTCACGATTTACCCAACAAAGACCCACCCCTTGACACCACAGCAAAGATGGTGCTAGGAATTCAGTACAGGATGGGCCAAAAACGTGTCACGAGCAGGCCTAGCCTACTATTTTTTCATTTTACTGTACACCTATATACAATGTTATGTTATACTTTGTAGTATAACAAGGAAAATTCGTCGTTGTGTGGTTCAACTATGCCCAGTCTGGGAGCAGCACAGTGTCACCAGCCCCACCGCTTGGGGGGAGTGGGGGGTATGAGTATCTTGCCAAAGAGCACAGATGTGTTCTTTGTATGTAAGGTTAAAAATAGTAAAATACTAAAAAAATGTGTTCTTTGGGCACTATTTTTTTTCTAACAACACATGTACCTTCTCTGCCATGAATGGATTTTTAAAAATGCATTTTAGGCCAAAACCTTCTCACAACTATCATAAAACAATATCTCAGGCAAAGACACTGTGTATATATAAACACAGTGTCAAAGGACAGCACTTTTTCACTTCCAGTTGAAAAAAGGACCTCAGATATGAAAGAAATATATAATCTCCACTGGCAAAAGATATGCAATGACATTTTCTCTAGGACCAGCAATTCAAAACTCCAGATAATATAAAGCTGGAATAAAATTTACTTAAATATCTTAAATTTCAAATATTAGTTTTAACACAGGCATGTCAAACTGGAGACATTCCAGGACAAAGTGCTGCGGAGATTAGCGTTTACCCTCATCTAACACTCAATTCAGTTCATGAAGCCCTTGCCAATTAACTGATGAGCTTAATCAGGTGTGAGGCAGTGTGCTGGAGTCTGCAGTGTTTTGGATCGCGAGGACTGAAGCATGACACGTGTTTTAATGGGTTAATTAAAAACAAAACAGCGAATATTAACATTAACAGGTTAATTAAAAATACTTAACAGCGAATATTAGTTTTAATAGGTGCATCATAAATCTATCTGTGAAAAATCACACCATCCACAAAACACAAAGAATTAATTGTGACTCAACTGCTCCATATGGTTTCACTCTGCATTCCTCTCAAATAAAGCTTGCTCATTCAAAAGAATAAGACAAAGACACAGACTGTTTATCCAAAGCACTTGGCGACTGGATAGAACACAAACCAGCACAGTGTCTGCACAAACACCTGCACTTTTATGAAACCCAAAACATCATAAAATGTCCACACAATCAAATATTTGATACTTGATACATACTTGATTATAATTATCAATTTTAGCAGTACTGATAACTTATGTATGTTGCTGGGTGCCTCAGACTGTTTAAAAAGTACAGTTCAAAATACATCCCAACTAAATAAATAGTAAGTTTCCTTTCTGTAAATAACAGAATGGCAATCAGAATGGCCATTTTTTATTTGGATGTTGGCTAATCCATGTTGCAATTTATGAGATATATTATATAAGTCAGGTAAGTGCACTTGTGCTGTATTTAATACACCAAACAACAACAACAACAAACAAAAAAAAAATGCCAAGACACACCAACTTTTCGGAACAAGAATCATCCACCAAAAATTCACAACCACTGCATGCTGTGAGTGTGCGTTATATGTGGTTAATGTTTACAGTCAAGCCCAGACTGTCCATCAGGTGGACCAGGAGATTTCCCGGCCTGTTAGTTGGCCCAGATGGTCAGGCCACAAGTTAAAATAAACTAAACTAGAGCACAGCTCACAACCATTAAGAGATCAACAAACCCCCTCCCCTGCCTCTCTGCCTCATAGTCTATCACGCAACTGGTTTAAAATGACATTTAAAGATTACAGACGTGCAGCAGGACTGGCTGGTGAGGTAGCTTAGCCATTAACTTTTACAAAGTGGGTAAAACAAGCAGTGAACTGTGGAGCTGAGAGAGGAATGAAATTCAGAAAGGGAGCAACCAGCCAGTCAGTAATAAAAGCTAGCCAGCTGCTACTGTAGGCCATTTCCCCTTTCTCAAATACATGCACCACCATATATATTATATAATATTTGTAGTTTCTGCTCACCCCATATAGAGTCATTACTGAACTTTAGCTTCACATATCCAAGTATTCAAAATATAAATATAAATATAAACTTCAAGTGAAGAATTAGAGCATGAGAGTAGTATTGTTCAGTTTTTTAAACTTCTTGCTGCAAAATTAAATGTCATTCAATATTGTGTAATATAAAGCAAATAAATAAAATTAAGCAGCATTTAACTTTATCAATACCGACCGTACCTACTGATATATGTCTAAAAAATATTAGACTAAAATATTGTATTTATAATGCTACAGTCTTTAAAGGATAATGCAGGATACTGTGCTTTTTACCTGTAAGTGTACTGTCTTACCTGTAAATGGCATTGTTGTGGCTGAACTGAGTTTCGATGATGCCACTGGTTCTCACTCGCACCCTCAACACATCTGACTCAGTTGGGACGTAGTTTGGGCTGATGATTCTGCCCATGTTCTGAAAGAAACTGCAAAGGGAGGCAATGCACAGTGAAATAAAGGCATATTCAGTATTTAGCAGGATCACAATCAGTTTTGTCCGATTATAAAAGTACTCTGAGTGATGTTTAGTTGGTCTAAAGTAGCTGGGTGTTTGTTACACCGGCTTTATTGACTGCAGGAGGCTGAGGACAACTAGCACCTCTGGAGAACAAACCTCCCTTGGAACATTCTGCGCTAACAGTGAATGAAGAGGCAACAGAAGGTGCGATTCGTCCTGCCATTCTCAGGCCTCCTACTCACTTCCACTCTGCTGTGTCCGGTCAGGATGCCCAGTGTCAACCAATGCTGCTCATTGAGAGTGCATATAAGTCTGATAATAACATATTTTACTTTGCTCACACAGAGTAATAAACAGCACAAATTTAAAACACAATTATTAGCTTGTTCTGGCTACTGTGCCTGTGCATATCTCCACAACGACAGGGAGCTTTTCCTACTAGTGGCTTAGCCAGAAAGTCTACCTTTTTTTTTTTTTTGGAAGGGCAGAACTTTCCTTGTGAACAGACATCATGTTGAGCATTACAAGCCTTCCCATTCATTTTCCTACCAGTGACCAGTCTCCTCCTTTATAACGTTATGTGACATTATGCCATATTTTGAAGACAGGCAGGTCAGCTGGTACTGTACGACAAAAATTTCAGACAAAAATAATAAATTGGGCATGAGAAACAGCAGCACAGTGTAATTAGGCTAGTTGTTTAAAAGGTCTAAAACATTTACAGAAAGAACCAAACCTGCCCTCCAAGTTTAAGAGAAATCTTTAACAGCAGCATCATAAAAAATTAGAGCTGGGCAATATGGCCAAAAACCTTATCACGATAAAAAAATTCATATCAGTTGATATCGATATATATTGCGATAAATGTCAAATTATTATTTCTTGCACGTTTGAAGGCTGATTTTTGCTCCTGAGTGGTCAGTTGCTGTTTTAAACTATGCTGTATGGTCAGAACATGACAAGCACTTGGCAAACAGTGGAATATTTCACAAATCTGTCATGGGGTAGTGGGAGAAAGTTTCTGGTTTGCTGTTTTTACCAGCTGGAAAAGCACAGCCACAATTTTTGTAATAGTCATAATTTAAGAAAGAAAACAGATTATTTTTAGCTGTCTGGTGATGTGTCCTAGGCTATCTGGTTACAAGTGCTAAACTGTTTCTCAACAACGTCGGCTTAATATGAACAGCAAACATTAGCTGGCTCTGTAGATCAATGATGGATCACACCACTTTACTGTCATAACTCCTACCACATCCATGTCAGAATACATCACAGTATTGAAACACAAGCTAGCAGATGTGTGGGTTTCTCTATTCTATCATAGTAGTTTGAGGGGTGAACCGCAATATATCTGATGCATAAAAATATATCTGCAGTAAGATTCTCTCTCACCAGACAGAGTCCTCCTTTTTAGGTTTAAACTGAAATCAGTGCTTTTTTTGTCTTGTTTGATCTACAGTAACATCAATTTGCCGTGTTGTGCGAGTGACAGAGCGCTGCTTCAAGTTAGCCAACTGCTAAAAACAGCTAGCCTGGAAAGCTAGCGTTCTCCCACTCTCCAATGCCACACAGCTTCCTCAGTTTACTTTCGTTTACATCAGGGCTGTAACTCGCATTAACCCACTTCTTTCTTTCACCTTCATTGCTTGGGAATGCACTAATACTAAAATATGACAGAGCGCTGTAACAGAGCTGTAGTTGTGTGGAGCAGACGCGATTTAACGCTGCTAAAGCTTGTCAGGATGTTAGAAAAGAGGTGAGTTCACTCTGGGCCAGTACACACGCACACGCACTCGGTCACAGGAGAACAGATCGCCGATCGCTCCACTCAAACAGGGAACATGTAACTCCACGTTTCAGATGTTGCTAAAGTATATTTGTCGACTCAATTCATTCCTTGACATCAAAAATGGCACTATTAAATTTGAAAGAAAGGGGCAGAATCTCTCAAATCATGAAGGTCTCACTATTTAACTGATGAGATGAATTAGGTGTGTTTAATGAGGTTAAAAACTAAAGACTGCAGAGATGTGGCAATGAAGGAGCTCAATTAAAACCGTTCAGAAGATATGATGATGTGGAGGATAATTTTGAAAACATTGTTAAAAAACACTGTTTGTACTTTTTATCAGGTGCAGGTTTTGATTATCAAGTCTTTGCAGGAGTCTTATTTTGTTGAACAGCACCAAAACGGTCACCACTAAGAAGCATTACTCACAATTCAGTCCAATCAAACCCAATATGCAGCTTGGTATGTGGGAGTAGATTAAGCGATGTTGAGTTTGTGGGCATCCTTTTAGAAATCCACGTTCAAAACTTAATCCTGAAGAATGATGTTTATTGAGTTCTGATCAGCAAGCTGACAGGGCCACAGGTCTTAGCCAAGAGGGCTATTAACCATCTGTCAATCAAACAGCTGCGCCAACCACCTGTGGCTCACCGATTTCGTTATCTACAGAGAAACAGCACTAGGCATTTCCTGATTCATTTGATAAATCTGTCATCTTTTAATGGTACTTTGGATCAGAACTGCTCATGAGGTAGTAATGGAAAACAAAAAACAACTTCAGACACCTGAGATGCAACCAAAAAAAAAATACTAATAATAAATAAATAAATCAGTGGAAGGCAAAATTTGAGCATGTTTCATTTGTGGACTGAAGGATTTGACGACACAGACGTCAGGATGGCTTTGCTGCATTAAATCATATAAAAATAACACAAAAAACAGTGACATGGTGGAAAATTCAGCACTGAAAGAAAACGACCCTGAAAACAGGCATGAAAAGAACAACATTAGCATCTGGTGATGTCACTACAGCTAACAGGACCTGGCGTGGTTTGACATGAAGGGCTCTGCATAATGGCAACAGTTTCAAGAGCGCTCAACGTAGCCCACACAGCAACTGGACCTACTGATCACACCGGAGGCCCACTGAGGCCAAAATGCCCACAGCTTATTAAAAAGCAAGAGCTCACAATAGACCTTTTAGACAGCTCGACTCCTACACGCATAGCATACAACATGCAGGTAATGCATGGAACTTGGAGATCGGGTTCTTGCCATTTCTAGTGAATTTCAGCTCATCCCCGAAACAAATTAATTAGCTGAAAGCAGTGGTCCAGTTTCAAAAATTAAAAAAGTGGTCCAGTTGGAAAAAATAGCAAGGGGGTGGAATCGGGGGAGGGATAAATAGGTATATGGCCCTTTCTATTCTATTCCCCTATATTCAAGCACAGGAAAAGGCCTTGTCACTACCTAGATGGCATTAATCAGCAAGATAGCAATAATCCTAGATAATGCATTCATAGCAATAAAAAATAAAAGTTGTTTCTATTATTCTACGTTTTCTTTGCACTGTTTTCGTGGATGGCTGTTACTCATCTAGAACTATGAATCTTTGCATGATCGTAGAGCCTATATAGCTGTCTGGTTCCAGAAGTAAAAATACCATTCATAAGGAAATTTGATTTTAAGCCATCATATTTTAACAGCCAACACAGACTTACCATAAGCTACGAGGTTCTATACGCTCCACTTAATAACAAAATCAGTCTAACTTCAACTTTTTTTTAAAGAAAACCATGTTTTATTTCCTCATTCTTTGTAAAGATATACACTTTCCATATGTCCTAAAGTGATCTTCACCAATCAGAGATGTCTCTGTTACTATGAAGATTCATGTCAGCGTCTCTAAGAAAGTCTCTGCCAGCAAGGAGCAGGAGTGCGGTTTCATTGTCAGGTGTGATGCGCTTATTTAGGAATGAGGAGAGGAGTGTTCGGATGAAAATCAGTCAGGCAGTGTAGTTTATAGAAAGGACGCACTGGGCTTTGGTCAAGTTTGGTGCAGTCAAAAATTATTAACATGAACTCAACACAGATCATATCATAATGTCACACTGTAGAATACTTAACCATGTAGATGCCAAAAATGCATAAGTTACTTGCTAATGTAAAAGGTACATGGTTTTGTTTACAGATTTGTCTATGCTTTGTTACAGGAATGATAGAAAAGCTTGCACAAAAGAGGAAAATAGCAGTGACATGTATATGATTGTTACATTGGAAATAAACATAAAAAATATAACAATAGGCTTCCATACAAAAATAAAAAGAGTAAGCACAGGTGATGAGCGTAACATTACAAGCTGAAAAATAATCTCCTTTTCTTCACATATCATTGCAGTAATAAACTTTCTCCACCCAAGTTTCCTTTCAGTAATTATACGTCCATTGGGAGCACTTAAATGAGCAAAATACTAAAATAATCCACATATTATACAGTTGAACAAAAAACATTCTTTCTTAGCAGCCACCTGAGCTAACATAGCAATGGCCTAGCAACATCTTAGCAACCACCTGGGATAACACAGCAAAGACCTAGCAACGTCTTAGCAACCACCTGGGATAACATAGCAATGGCCTAGCAACATCTCAGCAGCCCCCTGGGATAGCATAGCAATGGCCTAGCAACGTCTTAGCAACCACCTGGGATGACATAGCAATGGCCTAGCAACACCTTAAGAAAATAAACGACTGTGTAAAAGATGTGAAAGGCTAGATGTTGCGTAACTTCCTCCCTCTAAACAGTAACAAAACAGAGACTCTCCTTCTTGCCAAAAGTGGCAAGAAATAAATTATCAGATTTAATTTTAAATCTCGCTGACTTTCCAGTTATACCTGGTTCAGCAGCAAAAAATCTTGGCGTCATAATTGATCCAGATTTATCATTCGATCAACACATAGGCAGTATCATTAGGACAGCTTTTTTACATCTTCGCAACATCACCAAAATAAGAAATGCCTTATCGCTGCATGATGCAGAAACATTGGTACATGCCTTTATTACTTCAAGGCTAGACTATTGTAACGCACTACTGTCAGGATGCACCAGCAGGAATTTAAGTAAACTTCAACTAGTTCAAAATGCTGCAGCCCGGGTTCTCACTTAAACTAGAAAATTTGATCATATCAGTCCAGTTCTATCATCACTTTATTGGCTGCCTGTTAAATTCCGTATTGATCACAAAATTCTTTTATTGACGTATAAAGCCCTACATGGGCTCGCTCCTGAGTACCTGCAAGACCTTATTTCCCATTACGAGCCACCACGATTACTCAGATCACAGAGTGCTGGTTTCAGCTGGGGGAAGAGCCTTTTCTTAAAAAGCCCCCAAACTCTGGAATGATCTTCCAGAAAATGTTCAGGACTCAGACTCAGTCGCAATCTTCAAATCTAGGCTGAAAACTCACTTGTTTAGTTTAGCTTTTGGTAGCTAATGTTCCCCCTTAGATAAAGGCAGCAGATCCAGGGGTCCATGGACACCGCCGCTCGCACGCGATCACGCGGAGGGATGCCAAATTGTTTCAGGGTGCTCCCGTGTCTGTATGTCCTTTTGGTTCTCTCCTTTTAGCTAAGCTGTTATAGTCAGATCTGCCAGAGTCATTAGCCACACTCTGGAAATGTTCACATTCTCTGTTTTATATACACCCAAACAGAACAAAACTAATTCCATCTCCCTAACTTTTTACGAGTAAACAACTGCCCACCTGTCCGGCCGGACACCGATGGACGATTGTCTGTCGAGCTCTCCTGCTACCCACTTCTGACCAGTTGCCCACGCCCCAGTCACCGCCACTTGCCCAGCTACCGCCACTTGCCTTGGACTAGCTGCCCACCCTACACTGAAGTTTTCATGGACTCCTAACTATTACTACTACTACTACTACTACTACTATTAATATTAGTAGTATAATAATTTTGTAGGTAGTTTGACCAGAGGAGGATGGGTCCCCTTGTGAGCCTCGGTTCCTCCCAAGGTTTCTTCCCCAGCTCTGAGGGAGTTTTTCCTTGCCACTGTCGCCCCTGGCTTGCTCACCTGGAGGATTTACATTTCATGTTAAAACTTTGTCTTCAATGGATTTCTGTGAAACTGCTTTGTGACAACATCAGTAAAACATCATTGTAAAAAGCGCTATACAAATAAATTTGACTTGACTTTACTTGACCATAGCAACCACACAGGATAACACGGCAATGGCCTAGCAACACCTTAGCAACCATCTGGGAGAACACGGCAATGGCCTAGCAACACCTTAGCAACCACCTGGGATAACATAGCAATGGCCAAGCGACATCTTAGCAACCACCTGGGATAACATAGCAATGGCCTAGCAACGTCTTAGCAACCACCAGGGATGACTCAGCAATGGCCTAGCAACACCTTAGCAACCAGACAGGATTTCATAGCAAGAGCTTTGTCAAGCCTATTTAAAGTTCACGAACTTTCCACTTCGAGTCAATTACTTTTTCAAGGGCTTTGTTACATTTTGTGAAAAAGGCAAGTTGATAATCTCAAATATGGATGGAACCAAAAAAATGAGTAACTGACATCTTTGGTGATATAATGTTACTCCAAATTGGATGAATGGGGGTGTCGGTGGTTAGTGGGGGAAGTTGGTTTGGTAGGGTGGCGGGGGGGGTGCTGAAAGCAGTCTAGATATTCAAGCTGTAACCTTCAGGTGTCAAACAGACTTGCTTGTGCAGTTTCTGATGCTGTGTGATCTATAAAATATTTTTTAATGATTTTAATGACTGGACAAAAGTACAGGCATTTTCACACATCACAGAAACCATATAAGCAAGACCGTCTGAGATTGCTTAACATTAGATTAAAGCAAATTTGGAGGTTTGCACAAATGCAAAATTGAGACATCAAACATCTTGGTTGATCGACTAGATCTGGAGTGAAGGTAAAATTCTATTCAAAACACTATCGCTTGAACAATACACTAAACTAGGCAGAACAGACTGCATAACACACGTCAACCCAACTCTCATCCATAAGAGCAATATCCGCAAGGCAACGGCAAGTCATATGTAACCTCTCTCCTGTAATTATTCTGCCTGTTTCAACAAACTACTTCTATTTTTTTAGGACACTCACTAACAGCGCATTTTAACGAGGCAGCAATTAAAGCCGTTTCAGTAAATGTCACAGGAGTCATTTCCTGGAGACACAGCTGGCCTGAAGCAAAGGCTGCCCCACACGTATTGATGGGCAGACCTCAATGTAGAGTCTCTGCATATTTCACACTAGTGAAAAGTACAGTGTAGGCCATGAAAGAGCCCGACAATACTCACTACAGGGCTGAATCATTAAGCTGGTATTCGTGGCCCCTGGCAGCTGCTGCCCGCACTCCCTGATCCCCCCATAGGCTGTAGAAAGCATAGGCCACGAAGGGTAACAGCTCCTGGTCCTCTCCAACACAGCATTCACATGACAAGATAGATTGTGCATGAGCCTGCAGTTACCGGAGAGAACATGATCAATATGTTTCTCTGCACAGTGAAAAACAAAACGCTAGTACTGTGATTATATTGCTAAACACTGATTGCACTTTGCCTTGCAATATATCCAAAAAACACTGGTAAATCGATAATGTAACACGTTTAAAAAGAACACTTCTGTGATACCAGTATTGCAAAGGTGGGGCACAAGTTAACATTTTTGGTTTTTGCTTAATAATTTTCTTTAGAAACTATTTCACCAAGATTATTATTTGTTTTATATAAGCAAACTACACATTTTTGCCACAAAAGAAAAACTTTTCCAGCACATACCATTTGAGAACAATTCAGGTAAGACCATGGTGCTAGTCATTGAAAAACCTGCTAAATTGGTGGACACACATAATGATTTTTAAAGGTATTTGAACCAGGCTTTCTAACCGAAATACATAAAAATCTATTAATCGATAAATATGATTAGAGAAAAGACAATGGGTCAAATGTGGCAAACAACAGAAAAGCCCAGCAAATACCAGCACAAATATTCTTTCATGACACCTATAGATAGTTTTTAATGAATCTTACATAAAGAAATTTCTCACCTAATATGATAAAGGTGTAAATTCTTCCACTTTTAAAGACAGTAATAAAAAAAGCTTATAATGAGAAAAGTAAGAAGATTCAGGGTGAACCCAGTTGCTGTTAAAATTCTGATGATGACACTGCTATGGGAATATGAGAAGGATGTTCCACCTTAACCTGTTTAACTACATCAAATGTCCTAGTTACATTTCACATCTCACATTAGTTTGTGCCCAGCTCTGCCCCACCCCTACGCCGCACATTTTAGCGTTTTTCGTCTGTTAATTAGCTGGACCAGCAGGAAAAACAGTTACTGATCTCTTAACTTTTCAACCTTGTTTACAAAACCTGGTACTTGCCACAAACTCCATTTACTGAAGGTAGGGAAGCAAAGATATGGGAATTGGGGAACAATGCTGATATTCAATATTCTTCCATTATTCCATGTACATATCTTTTGATGCTAATTCACACATTTTGAAAATGTAGAAATTGGGGCTGGAGCATTACAGGAAAGCATAGTGTTTATTTCTAAAGGGTTATAAATGCAACAAAATGTAAAACTTACTTATTTTTAATAAACATAACGTGTGCAGTAGGGGCCATTAAGAGCTCGCAAAAATTTTTTGTCATTGTAGAAACCAAACAAATACCTATTAAGTACTGAGGACTAGTGCAATGCAAATATAGACCTGTAGTGGATAACAGCAAAGCCCTATATCCTAGAGACCAGGGTTCAAATTCTGGCTCTGGCAGAAGCATAAACATTAGACTTAAATTTAAGTGTTTTCTATGTAGCACAGCAGGGAAGAGTTAGTTTGGCAGTGTATTTTAAAACCATTGGTCAGATACTGCATCTCCAATGTCCCGTCCTTTGGAAAGATGACCATTAACTGAAGTTGTACGTCTCATAAAACAGAACCCTTTTGCTGCATTTACAGCTGTGTACAAGACTACAGTTCATGCACTGCACAGTCCTGAAGCTCCACTATTGACATCATGCACTTCTAACATAGGGATCATTTTTAGGCTGTGTTAAGTAGCTAAATTATCACAACTTGGCCAAATATGAGCTCTGAATCATTCCCGTGGTGACAAGATGAAGGTGAAAACAAAGTGTGAGGTTGTTTAAGAATCCTGTGTTAATGAAAAGTTCTGCAAACACAGTGAGTCAGTGCATGACTGGTCTATTATTCTCCAACAGAGTTCCCAACTGCTCTGTTGACAGCTGGCTCAGTTTGAGGTAAAAAAGCTGTTGAACACTGTATCTCACCTTGTTCTTCCTGTTGGCCAGATTGATCCGTAACACGCCCATACCATGTAGAACAAACTTCACGGAAGTCAGGAGATTGTCCAGTACAGCAGGCTGCGCATTGAGATTAGACATAAGTAGAAATATACACAATGTAGTTAGTTCCATCTGGAACACTTAAAAATGTGTCCACTTGGTGTGATACAACTGCAGTAATAACAAGTAAAATAAATAGTCAGACCATCTAATACAAAACTGCAACAACTGTTTACAGGCAATGCAGGTTTATTTATATAGCAACTTTCATATACCGGTCATTCACACTGCTTGACAAAGAGAAAATAACAGGATAGTTCAATTTAAAACTTAAAGTACTCTATTTATGCATATGCCTGAATCAATATCACCAAAATTACATTTCCCTGCAGTTCACACATTGCTGCACATGTATTTGACAAATGTGTCTTATTTTGGCACTGAGCATTAACGGTTCATTTATAGTTGGATCCTCTGTTGCTATATTAAGTACGGTTCTAATGGCTGTAAATGGTGTGCTAATTTTAATAAACATGGCTCCCACTCCAAGCAAACCTGCGGAATCCAGGACTAAAATTGCTTAAAGTAGAACTACAGAAATCATTCCCGATATCACACATTTTCTTGCATGAAATCTAACTGTATTCAATTCACACTGCGTATCATCTTGTAATCCCCATATTGGAGAAAAACACCATCAATGCTTGCTTATTAACTATTTTATAATCAGTGCACAGCATGTAGTAAACATTCTCATTACACAAACTTTAAAGTTTAATTAACAACTTCTTTACAAACTGAAGTTCCTACAAAAGCCTGAGTAGACTGATAACCAATGAGCGCATTTACATGCGAGATTGCGACAAAACTCTTTTGAAGCGGCGCTACATGATGTATGTTCATATTTCCAAGTTGTACGATGTTTAAAAAAAAAGCCACGGCATGAATTTTGAGTTTTACATTACGTTTACGTCATGTCTTCATCTGTGAGTTTATTGGCTGGTTGCAAAGCAGAAATCTGATTACTGTCTGACTCACATAGACTACTCAAATGCATGTAAAGGTGTTGCTTGGATTACTGACAAAATCTGATTTTCTGCAGTTATCAGATTATTAAGTGCATGTAAACGAACTCAATGTGATGAACAGGTATTACTTAGCATTACTGAGCTCTTTTGAGGGTTGATCAAACAATGATTTCCAAAGATTTCCAATGTGTCTTTCCAAGATTTATTTTAAAGGTATTCTAAAAGTAGTCTGAATATGTTACTTTTGTATGTATTGTAATGGAATATGTTATGCATATAGTCTTACAATCATGCTACACTTTAAAATATTCAGGTATTTTACTTTTCATATATTAAACATTTATAATATATAACAAAATGTTTGGATGTCTTGGGTGAAAGGCAATTAATTTGATTACCCCTCCCCCACTTGAGCTAAAATCTAAAAATCTAAATGCTTTGTTTAAAGTAACTGTAAAATGCTCAATATGTATGTATATAACTACACATATTCATTGAAGTACGCATTAGTGTAGTACTTCATATAAAACATTCAAACCTGCTGTGCTACTCATGGAAGAACCTTTTAGCACTGTGCTGCTTGGCAATCACAGTTTTGTTAACACAAGGCAGAACTCACCTTTGATCAGAGAACAATGATGTAAGGATTTCCGACTCTACATTATATGTAGGCCTGTCAAAATCATAACATTTTAGCTGATGATCAACTGCCATGTTAATAATTGTGATTTACAATTTAACTGTCGTCTGTTCTTTGTATGTGACTATTAAAGCAAGTCTAAAGTGGCCCAATTGGCTGACCAGCTATCTTCCTTTTTAGCTGTAGATACTTAATAGTTTGCAACTGACAACAGACACAGAGCTCAAATAAACAAACACTATGATTGTGAAAGGTAACAAGATAATTGCGGTCAGCTTGCATAACTGCGATCAGCTCAAATAACTGCAATCAAGCAATTTAGTAAAAACAGGGACAGGCCTAACTATAATTCTACAAGGACCTGTGTGATCTGAAGAGATACAATATAACAGAGTGCTTTCTGTGTTTCGCTGTGTGCTCAGACAATCTGCTTCATTAATGCCTGAGTCATTCATTGACTGCAATGTCTCTTGAGTGTTATTCATGTCCCTTTTAGGCAGCACTACATCATACATATAGACACTAAAGCCCGGTCCCATTTCTGAGGTGCGCTCACTCCTTTCCTCCCCACATACTGCAATTGGAAGGCTCCATGAACAGAAAGATGAGTCATTACAAAGAAAGACTGACTGCGTAGCATGCAACTTCCACATTCTGTAAAGAACTGTAGCATACAACAGTTGTAGCTGGGGTCCATACCACAGAAGACTCTACCGCGGGAGCGATTCTATTCAACTCCAAACAGAGACACTAAAGATACTGAAGAACTGTAGAAGTGAAGAGAAAAAGAATTCAAAGTGAGATTCATTCAAAGATTTGGCACTCTCTTGATTAAGCTAGCTCCAAGGAGAAACATAGTTGGTGGGTGGTCTACTGAAAGTAGTTTCAGTCAGGGAGCCAATCAGATACGCAATGCATCGTTCACATGGAAAACAGCAAGTGAGTACCCCCAATAACAGTGAGAGAATCCAATAAAAGGTTTTTGTACCTTGAAGCTTGTGAGCTCCTCTTTGGTGAAGCCACGGCTATAGATGATCTTCATCTGCTTCACTATAGTGCTTTTGCCACTCTCTGGAGTGCCTAGGCATGTTTAACAGAAAACAGCATTGGATTTGTGTTTACCAAAATTAAGGCAAGCAAACTCACTGGTAGCCATGATCCAGCGATCAGGTCTAGTAATCTGTACTAGCAGAAGGTGTGCATCTGCATGCACATACAGCAAATCCACAGACCTCTATCCAGGGGAATTACACAGATTTTTTTTTTTTATTTCTTCAATACAATTTAAGGGATTCAGAGTGGTTTAATGTGAAATGCACCATTCTAGAAAAACTTACCAAGTCATAATTATTTACAGTGGGTGATAGGAACCACATGTTTAAAGTATAATTAATGTAATGTCTCTAAAGTCTACATCACAGAAAGTTATCACAAAAATGGTTACAAGTGAGAATGTTTTATGATAGTTTTGCGATACACATTTTTTAAGCGTATGCAGGGTGGAGAGGCACGTGTAGGGCAAAACAATACCCACAGAAAATGTATTTTTTCAGATTTACCATTATGAACATTACATATAACACTCAGAAGACAAGTGTATGTTCACTGGTTGTTTAGGACAGTAAGTAAAATGGCCATATTCAAGTTGCAGACCCCCATGGTTCCCATCATCACCACAGAAAAAAATCTGAGTAAGTTTCTCTACAATTAAACATTCCATATTAAACCACTCTGAATGACTGTTTACAAAGACAGGATTACACACAAACTATGAACAATCAATGGAATTCTCTTTTTAGGGTGTAACAATTTCAACACGTTCAAAAAACTGGGAAAAATAAAAATTTGAAACAATACATTGAAATTTAAATCTATAATCGCCAGTATGTCTCTTGATGGATTGGCAGTTTAATCTCTTATGTACTGTTCTGTCCAAACCAATGTCAGTGATCAAAACTAAGCATCTGGTGCACCCTATCTATTTTAGGAATGCAACAATACAACATATTGTCCCTGTCCAAAAGTATCGCCATTTTTGTATTTTTCATTTTTGACACAATTTGAGAAAATCAGTTGTCCTTCATTGATTGTGAATATTTCATGAAGAATGGACCAATATAAATGCTCCAAAATTGCCTGGAATAAAACCTCTTTACATGAACTAACACTAAAAGTAAAGAATGCTTTTGCCCTCTCCTTTGAACAGCAACGATGTATTACATTACTGTAACTATTGTCATTCTGAAGTCTCAAACATTGTACTTGCCTTAACAAACTGAAAATTCTTCCATTTTCAACATTATATATATAAATAATGGATTGAATAATGATACTAATTATCTTATCAAACTAATAATTAATTTTGTGAGACATTTTATCATATTATACTGTTTATAGCTCAAGTGCTCTTTTATCGTTTTATATCATCACCAATTTGCACAGAACATGGTAATTTGCAGTCTGTGATTTTCTCAACCTAACCAATCTGGGTCATATATAATTACAGCTCTGCACAATCAGCTCTGGACCTTTTTCCTTATAAAATATTTAAAAATCTCTTTACACTTGAATAGAAATCCACATAAAATCTGAAAAAGTGTTTCTGTTACACCTCTACTGTCCACATAGATGTGCTCAGAATGCTTTAAAAAGCAAGCTGAAGATTTCCAAAAAAATTCTCTCTCCAGATGGGATGGCTGCTTTTAGATAAATGCCAAGTTCAAGTTCACATATTTACAATCTCAAGTTTAAAGGAATGGTTTCTCAAAAAATCTAATGTACACAATTATCCCTTTACCTCAAATGTAGCCAGTTATCAATACGTGTTTGGTGTCTGTGGTTTGCTTTTTTAGTTTCACACTGGAGCCATGAGGCTAATGTAGTTATCAGGGAAAAAAGACTGTGTAAACTGGGATTTTTCAGCAAAGGCAGGGGTTACTAATCTTGTCTGAAAACGTACCTCCAGGTTTTTAATGCAACAAAGCAGTAGTTCACCTCATACAGCAAATCAACTTTTGAAGACTGAGATCAACTTAGTAGGTTAAATAAGTGGAATCAGGTGCGCTTCAGCATCAGTGGAAATGCAGCCCAATGTCCTTGTGTGCCCATTACCCAGCACAACATTTTGCTGAATGCATGTCTGACTATGGGCTACAGCCTAGTGCAATAACGCTAATGAAACAAATATGAAAACATGACAAATCTCTGAGTGAAAAACAGACAGTTGTTGTTTTTCTCATTCCCGGGTCGTACTGAGATTCTTATCAGCTGTGTTTCTCAATCCATCATCTGGACAATCAGCTTGATATCTGAAAGCGTAAAAAAGCCTCACCCAGCAGAAGCATTTTGACCACGTTCCCCTCGTGTCTGCCTTGTTCTCCCAGTTCTCTGTCTATTCTGGAACTCCACTCACAGGCCTTCTTCTCCTCCTCGGAAACTCTGGAGGGGAGACACAGCCGCAGTGTCCTACCGCAGGCCTCCACAGAGGAGACAACACAAGTTTAGTCTTCAGACCGGCTAAGCTGTGAACAGCTACGCTACGCTTTGTGTACGACAAGAATCGTTACCTGCAGCGACGTTAGTGCGAAACACCGAAACATTTTGTTGTAGTCTACTGTAAAATAGCCCTGAAGATGATAACAACGACTTTAGCTACAGGAAAACGTAGCTCGTACATGCAGAGGTGATGTTTGCTAGCTAATAGCTAAGTTACTTGCTTGCTAGCGTACAGCTACCCGAGGTTTGAGCTCAGAATAGATCGGCGCTCTCGACGCTCGACACACACACTACTACCACTCGCTGCAGAACCAGAAGTCCAAAGGGGTGGAGCCGGACCTGATCCAACTCCGCCCGTGTCTACTTTTCATTGGTCTAAAATCATCGTATTTCTATAGGTCTTTAAACTAGTATGTGCGCTTACGTTTTCCGGCTACGTTTTATTTCATTGGTCTACCCTGTCGTGTTTTTACCTGTGGGAAACCCGCAGGTGATGCTGATGTCTTTGTGTTTTTCTCGATGTCGCTCCGTCCTGAACGCCACAACACAGCCTTTATAATCGCTCATGGTTCACGACGTTCACTCATTTGTCAAAACTCAAGAAGCTTTTTTCACATTCCGGTACAAAGTCCGTTCTGTAGGCCTACATCTCATGATAAGCCACTTTATTAGCTCATTCTACCTTGTTTCCCTATGGGAGGCAAATCCAGCCAAAAAAGAAATTAAAATTAAAACCATAAAATGAAAATGCAAACCTCTTTTTGCCATTTCTTTTTCCAAACATCTGCGCAAATATCCTGCCAAAATTGAAAATGAAATGAAATGTCTACATTTGCAATTTCATTTTTCACATGAGCACGAGCCATTTGTGACAAAAATAAAAATAAATGCAAAACAGCTATTTTTCATTTCATTTTAGTCATAATTCTGTTTTTTCACTGTCAAATCTAAAACGAAAAAGCTAAGAGAGAAAAGAAAATCCAAGCTTCACTTTGGCTTTGGCTTTTCTCCATGAAACGCAGAATACGTGTCAAAACTAAAATCAAAATGCAGTGTTTATGTTCTTATTTCTTTTTCACAGCAATCGGCTGCATATCTGACAAAATGAAAATGAAACTGGATAATGGATAAATCAGCAGCAAAGTGACAGTTTGTGATTCAGTTTTCGGCGCGGACGCGCTTTAAATGTCAGAATGAAAAGGCAAATACAAACGAACATCAGCGCCACCTGCTGGACATTTACTTTACATTTTCCACTTTTCGATTTCGTTTTCAAATTGACCAACATGCAAATATATGTTAATTAGCACTAGGCGGGGCTACGGGGTACATTTTAGGACATCCTCAGACCTCCGAGTCAGAACGGCATCATTCCTCAAGCTAAACGACTTTGAGTCTCGAGAAAAACCATCGTCATGACTCAGATCTGGTGAAACTGAACGTCAGCACAAACGGCCTCAGAAAAAAGTTATCAGACCAAACGCAGGCCTGGTCGAGCACATACTGGTTCGTATAACTTAGAAAACTATTATGTATCTCGATATAAATGCCAGTATGATATTTCCATTTTTTTTCTGACGGTGTTTGTGCTGACGTTCAGTTTCACCAGATCTGAGTCATCACGATGGTTTTTCTCGAGACTCGAAGTCGTTTCCCAGTAAACAAAGAACGTCTGTGGACGTCCAAAATGTGTTTAAAAATAGTCGGTCAGTCGGGGACATGTTATGAACGTCAATAGACGTCCAAAATCCGTTTCAAAAAGTCAGTCCATTGCTGACCTGTTAATAACGTCCATAGACGTCCAAAATTAGTTTTAAAGATGTCGGTCCATTGGTGACCTATTAATAACGTCCATTGACGTCCAAAATCCGTTTCAAAAAGTCAGTCCATTGCTGACCTGTTAATAACGTCCATAGACGTCCAAAATTAGTTTTAAAAAGTCAGTCCATTGGTGACCTATTAATAACGTCCATTGACGTCCAAAATCCGTTTCAAAAAGTCAGTCCATTGCTGACCTGTTAATAACGTCCATAGACGTCCAAAATTAGTTTTAAAAAGTCAGTCCATTGGTGACCTATTAATAACGTCCATTGACGTCCAAAATCCGTTTCAAAAAGTCAGTCCATTGGTGACCTGTTAATAACGTCAATAGACATCCAAAATCCATTTCAAAAAGTCAGTCCGTTGGTGACCCGTTAATAACGTCAATGGATGTTTCACTATAACCCAAAAATAATGATAACGATCATGATAATAACAATACCAGTACCACTGCTTCTAGCCTACTGCTACTACTACTACTACTACTAATAATAATAATAGTAATAGTAAGAAGAAGAAAAAACAACAAAAAGAAAGCTGTATTCCAGTCCAGAGATATTATGTTATGTTTCTTTTCTCAAAGATACCAAATGTTAAATATAGATTGGCTTACTGTTATGTTAGATGTTGATTGCTGAAGCTTGATAATATTTCACTTGTCTTTATGGTGTAAAGAACATGCCATATGACGTCACATGGAGTGTGGTTGTCATTATTTAACATGGTGCCATCAGCTTTTCTATATTTTCTGGACTTTTTTCAAATTTTAATGCAAGTGCTAAATGGTGTTTGTAATTGCATATCTCATAGCAGTGTGCATTATTTAAGACACAATTCGAATTTGAATGCAAACCTATTTGCGTTTTAATTTATTGTATTGTATAATAGCTGGAAACTTTTAATATAGAAAAGCAGCGTTTTTGACCATTCATTTTCATTATCTTAATATGGTCTGACTCTGACATAAAAAACGCCCATTTTATTGTATTTCGTCATCATGGCCCTTCAGCTCTGCCAAAATGAAAATGTCTTTGCAATCCTGTTTGCAACTGCTCAGCAATTGAAAATTAAAGGCATGGTTTCCAAAACTAATTTTCCAATACTGATTTGTTTTGGTCAAGTCACATGTCAACAAAGCTAGGTTTCACAAAATAATTTGTAAATTGTGAAGAATTTCACTCACATCTCCAAGGTAGTATGGTATGGTTATGAGAATTAATCTGATTTTTCATTTCTTTTCTTGAAAATACCAAATGTCAAATATGCTGTAGATGGTTTTGGCTGACTGTTATGTTAGATGTTGATTGTTCATGAAATAACTTGCTGAATCTTGATAATATTTTACACGTCTCTATGATGTTACATGCCATATGACATCACTTGGAGTGTGATGGTCAGTATACCACATGGTGCCATCAGCTTGTCTTTGTAATATTTTTCTGGACTTCTTTCTAATTTAAAAGCAAATTCTAAATGTGTATTTACAACTTCATATCCCATAGGTGTGTGCATTATTTAATACACAATTCAAATGCAAAACTATTTGCGTTTTAATTTCTGTGTATAATGGCTGGAATCTTTTATTATAGAAAAGCGGTTTTGACTATTCATTTTCATTGTCTTAATGGTCTGATTCTGACAAAATCGCTTATTTGCGATAGCATTTATCATCATGGTGCCAAAATGAAAATAGTCAGTCTTCTCAATCAAACGCATTGGGCAACGCCCCTTTAGGATGCTCTCATTTCAGAAAGTCAATTTCAGCGAGCCACCCAGGGCATACGCGATATTGTCGACTTTGATCTGGGTGAGTAAACGATTTAAACCAGCTGTTTTTAAGTAGACCCCTCTGCCATATAGAAGTCAGTAAGATTACAGAAAATCTTTTAATATTACTATTATCGTTTGTTAATGAATAGAGAGTATATGTTAGCCAGCTAGCTAGTTAGTATTTTATACAACTGCAGAAGCTATCTTGTCTGTCCCAGCTCCATAGCAGAATTATATAATAAAAATAAAATAATCTTCCTTTGCAGTAAAATAAAGCGCTGCTATTCGTTGATATTGCTGCTAAATCATCTTAAACGCTTGAGTTAATGCAGCCTATAACTGCTCATTCACCGACCTACCCTGAAGGTTTTGGCGCGCAGAGCGCTGGTCACCACAGCAACCAGACAAGAATTTCGCCTAGCTAGTAGCTAACAAAACATCAACGAGAGAGATTTGAGACGAACACCGATAATTCGGAGTTGAGTGGACTTGTTTGCGTTAATAAGCGCTCAGCTGGTTTCCTGATAAGTGTAATCTGCAACCAAAACTGACAGAAACTTAAGCCGTGAAGCCAAAAGTTCGAATTTTCCCGTTCCACCTTAAATAGCGTCAAAATGTAACTGCTGTACCATTTAAGGTGGAACGGGAAGATTCGAACAAGAAGCCGGTGAATGAGAAGCGACTTGAGCCTCGAAAAAAGTCGAATATTCTACTTTTAAGGAAACGTTTCCTGGCGGATGTGCGAGAAAAGCGTCTACAGCTAAGCTAACGCTAAAGATTAAAGCAGAGCAGAGCGAAGTAAGTGCGTTTTCATTTATATTTTTGCCTTTGCCAGTTTATTAGCACGTACTGTGACAAATTAATAGCCATGATGGTAAAATGGACCTAAAATGTTAACGCTATGGATCCCAAGGTGGTGTTAAGAAGAGAACAAAATGTCTTAACATGTGGGTTGCCGTCCACTGTGCTAAGGTTAGCTAGTGCTAGAACAGTCTTGTTGGCTAAGTGAAACATGGCGTTCGGTGGTGCACATCGTTAACGCTAGCTAGCTAAGTTAGATTTAAAGATTTGTCTGCCTTGGGTAAATATAGTTAGCTAACAGTTAGCAAATTAAAATGTTACTAACAAAGGTATTGTTAATAAAGAGCCATTTTATTTTCCTCAGTTCAGTGCCATTGATGGTCCTGATAAAAGCTATCTTAGCTAAGCTAGGTTAGCTAGCTAAACTAGCTAGGTTAATTTTCTTGGTCCAACACAACACACATTTCCTGACGTTAGCTAGCTGTTTTTGTGATTGCCCAACGTATGAGTCTTTGCTAACTAACTTATTTAGAAATACCACATAATCATTCTAACAAAACACTTTTCGAAATGAGCTGTATATTGTGTATTTAGTACTTTTATAGCTGTATATTGTGTATTTAGCATTTTATGTAACGTCTACATCGGTGCGTGGTATCTTGGATTTTTGCGCGGGCTTATTTGTAAAAAAAAAAAAAATAGCCATTAGCTTGCTATATTGAGCTACATTTGCTGTATTCAACTAAGCTTGTAGTCCCATGCATGAATAGTTTGAGGCTAATTTTAAAACTTCCAGAAGCATATTTTTTCTTCAAAACGAAGTACTATAGCTGACTACTGATTGTTTAATAATATTTTAAAGTAATTGTGAATATAGCTGCATGTTGGTAGGCAGGGGAAAATGTGGCAATCATCCGAATACTTCTTTTATTAGCTTTGGTTGCACAAGGTAAATGCATTAGGGAGTTTTTATTAGACAATGAAATGTACCAGCAGAGGTACTGAATTAACTGTAATAGCTGACTATCTTCTTTTGTAGGTGTTTCAGAAGCTGACTAGATTTGTTTGTGTGTCACATCATCCAGGCTGTGGTCAAATAATACAAACAAGTTTAAAAAATAAGTTTTATTGCAAACACAA